GATTGGTCCATTTAGAATCACTCTCAAACTAACCCTCCATTCTGTTTGAGACTTTATGATGTAATATACTCTCTTATTATCACCCATTCACATGTGAAGATCAAGACTTAATAGTTAAACATGAGTGCAACTTAGGGGTCGTTCGGTAACGTTTTCAAGGCCCCCTTTTCATTTTCTACCAAAAACAAGTTCGGTATGTTGTTTTCATTTTCATTGGAATTCATTTTTTGAAAACAAATTCAAACTCATGTATAAAAACTAAAAACACCAAATTATCGTTTTCATTTTCTATCCAATGTATTGGTCTGATTGATTTCTCTCTTTTTTTGGGTATGATTTTTCTTTTCTTTTTAATTTTTAATTTTTTTCCTTCAATTTTTATTTTTTTTTGGTTCCATTTCATTATTTTATTTTGCTACAACTGTGTATATTAATTTTATGATAAAACCATCATATATTATTCAATTTCATATTTATTTTAAACTAAAGATAATATAATTTTATTATCTGAGGTTTTCTAAAATTAGAATTTTTTAAAATTTTAAAATTATATATTATTCTCAAATTATACATTTGTCATTGTTTGTAATAATTTTAGCCTTTAAAATATCAGAATTTTTTTTAAAAAAAATTTAGGACATAAATTAGCAAATAATATACGTGAAAAATAACTCACAAATTATTATTTTCAAATTGTCCTACCAGACACGTTTTCACTATTTTTATTTTCTGAATATGTTTTCCAATTAATCTACCAGACTCATTTTCGAATCTTGAAAATGCAAATTCTTTTTCTCGTTTTCATTCTAAAAAAACATTACCAAACGGACCCTTATATTCCAGGGGCATAAGGGTATGTATGTATATATAGTAGTCGTTTAGCTGTTAATATCTGCTTTGATGCTATAATAAAGTTAGAGCATATCTAATGCAAAACCAATTGACCCATTGGTAAACAGGTTTAAGATCTTACACTATTATGCAAGGCTTAAATCCCGATATAATATTTTCTTTCTACAAATTTATACATATACCTACTTATATATATACATATATTTTTTAAAAACTTAGAAGTATTTCCTTGTATATGTAGTTTTAGAAAATTAGATTATCATGATTAGATATTTCGTTTGTACAGGTGACTTTTTTTTAATTTGTTGCAGAAAGAATCGTATCATATATACATAGGTCCATTTGTAATACTGTTAAGTTATGCCTTTCAATTCTAGCTATACCATGATGGAGGAAGCCACAGATTATGATAGGTTAAAGTGACTTCACTACACACAGCCTGTGTTTTACACAAGTTAACCCCTATCAATGTTCACTACAGCTTTTAGGGGTCACGTGCCTAAACAGAACTGATTATGAGTTCGTTCTCAAATGCCTTCCATTATGTATATCTCTCATATGACAAATCCGTAATTAATCAAATTTTTCCCAAGTTAATTGTATCCTTCTTACTAGTCTGAACAAAATAGCTCCTTAGCTTCATTTTCTTCTTTCATTAGGTTAAAATATAGAGATACAACACGAAAACGTTTTAAGAGATTATCTATTTTATGTGCGATCGCCTAATTACATTTGAATGTAGAATTTAATGCTGGTATAGCAATCGTTATTCAGAATGAGTTTAGGCCCAAGATAAATAAAACTTGAACCTTTTCATGTAGCTGCTTCTAAGAAGAAATTGTTGTTGTTGTTTTTTTTTAAATTTTAAAATTTAAATTTTTATATAGTGAAGTCTAAACTTCCTGTGGAAAAAATTGTTAATAGATAGAATAATTTTTTTGTTGTTTTTGAGTTCTAGAATAATCCTTGTTACTGTGGTAAACATAAGATTTGGTGGGTAGAGAATCATTAAGTGACTAAATCAGGAAAATGTCACTTGATAGAAAACCAAAAAGTAATGATTGACACAGTAACTTCACCTTGCAGCGGTCCTTGTCATGTCTGCCTCTACGTCTCACTCTCACTCTACCTGCAATTTCTTTCAGCAAGATGTTAAAAGGAGAAAGAAGTGTTTAAGAAAAGATTCTCCCTTTATTCCTCTGCCACACCCTAGGGAGAGCAGAAAGCAAGAGATGTATTTATACCAAGGTCTAAAATATCGATGGTTTTGAAAATATCGGTGCTTTGAAAACACAGAAATTTTAATGAAAATATCGAAAAATTATCGATATCGATAAAAATTGAATAAAAACCATGAAAATTGTAAGAAAAACTTGAAAATTTTTCTTGAAACTTTGGAGGATGTTTATTTAGTCAATTATCTATTACTTTATCACAAAAAAATAGAAGTAAATGCATTGCATGATAAGTTTAACTTATTTAAATTGATTATATAGCGAGCCGATAAACACTACGAGTATAAAAAATATGTAGTAATTAATGAAAGAATATTAAACACACCATAATCATTTATTTACAATAATTTACGACAATATTTTATACTTTATACATTGCATGGTAAGATATATATATATATATAATATAAGTGACTTAGTACCACATGGAATTCCTATAAGGTTCAAATTTGAGTTATTTACACTAACATCCCTTGAGGTTTTCGGATATTTTCCGATATTATGGACGTCGGTATCTTTCGATATTATGGACGTCGGTATTTTTCGATATTATCGATACTTATACGATATGTTTCAAAATATCTTATACTTGAAAAAATAATAATATCCTTGATATTTCGTCGATATTTTTGATATTTTAGTCCTTGATTTATACAGTTACTCTCTCTCTTCAACTTTTTTTTTCCTGCAAAATGTGTGGTCACATTTGCTCCTTTGTGTCTGCTTTGTTAAAAGAGTGGAGTGGGATCAGAATATGATTATAATGTGTCATTTTTTGCTGGCATAGATTGAGATTCTTTTTCCAATCACTTTCTTCTATGTCGATAAGAATCCCACCTTGGAACAAGATCAATGCCTGCTCATGCATGATTTTTTATTTATTTTTTATTTTTTTATTCTATCAAATCCCATAAAAAGAACTTACATCAGCAAAATGACATAATAATTTAGTCCCTCTTACTTCTAATCGGCCTCTTTTAGGAGATTAAAGGATGTGATAGGTCAGGAGAAAGTTTGTAAGTTAAAATCTAATTTTCAAAGAAAGTAAAAGTTTATGAAGTATAGATTTGTTCTTGCATTTTGTGTTTATATTGTATCACAGTATTCCCTAAATGCAATGGGTTTGGGATGAGAGAATTAGCTGCTGCCGGACAGGACCATATGGGGAAATATACCTTTTTTTCGGTAGTCCTGAAAAGGAATGCGCTTCTGGGAATAATCCAAATTTTGTGGGCATTGATGCAATCATACACAAGTTAAGCTTTAAGGTTGCTTTCTTGATGACCTTTCTCCAGATATTTTCTTGCAGCATCAATTCTGCACATCTTCATCATAAGAATCCATTATTTGGTAAAAAGCACATTATTCAGAAAGAAACCCCACTATAAGGCTTCTGCTGATCATGATTTTTGTTTCTTCTGCCAAATTTTTATCCAAATAAAACTGAATGAGACATGATCCTGGTTGCAAATCTGAAAAAGAAACAACTTAGTTGGTAATAATGGAGCCACCAAATTTATTGATGGCAGAAGACTCTGAACAAAATAATAATGAAGGGAAAAAGGAAAAGCCAATAATCCTTCCAACCTTTGGCTCCACCCCTGTAGAAGTGTAATACAAGTTAGGAAAAAATATGGGCTTACATGTGAATTCACAAATTATGGGCTTACATGTGAAAAACCTAACTAAAAGATAATTTATAATAAAACTCATTTCTTGCATTGAATTTATATATAAACCCTAAAACTTATAAATTGAAGAACAAAACGCAATAAGGGCTAGTTGTAATATATTTTTTAAAAATTTGAATGATGTGAGAAATGCTATTATTATTGCTGCATTATGATTTTTAGAAAAAATAAAAATAAAATTGATTGTTGTAAATGCATGGAATGTGGATGACCACCATAATATCCATTACCTCCACCCTTTATTGCTTTGTAACCTATGCCCTTATTATTGTAATTAATAGCTATAAATTGTGGGTTAAATACCTATATTGTAAGCCTATAAATAGACACTTATCAAATATGAATATGATATGTTGATACAAGGTCATAGAATAAATTCTCTGTATTTCTCTTCCTCTTATTGTTGTTTACAATTCCCCTTAGTTTTATAACACGTTATCAGCACATGAGCTAGAGTCATTGCTCTTGGTATGTTTTCTTTTTTTGAATTTTCTTTCTTCTTATATGAGCTAGAGTCATCACATGGTATAGAGTTTCTTTGTACTCACCATCAGACTTCATCATGCTCGTTTAAGGAAAAAAAAATTATTCTTATTACACATGAATATAATGACATTTTAATTATTTTTTTGTTTATTTAATTTTAAGTATGATCTTAATTATTATGATGAGTTTGTATTATACAAAAGATCAGGGCCCGAAGTTCCTCGATCCTGATCATATAACTATATTAAGACCTAGAGTTCTTTTGATTAAATCAGAACCTGAAGTTCTTTGATTCCAAATAATTGAGGGTGTGAAGTTCCACGAATAAAGAGCACATAAGGACATGAAACTCCTCAATTTTGTATTAATTAAAATCAAAATTCTATGAGGCTTACATATGTCAAGAACCCGAATAAGAAGTTTCGAGTGCATATACATCGATTTTTGAGTATGAAGTTCAAAGTACAACTATTAATTCAATTTATTTAGATCTACGTATTCGAACCTGAAGTTTCGAATATATATTGATATGAACCTGAAGTTCATAGTTTTTCATGGATCATGCTCAATGATCGTGAGGTTTGGTGAATCGTATCAATAGAAAAGTACCAATGGCATGAGGACTAGTATGAGTTTCATGAAGGAAAAATTGTTGAGTTCTTGCAAAAGTGCAGAGAACATAACAATCCAGAAATCACTTACAGACAAGCTTTTCATGACTTCTTCATATGCAAAAATGATGAGGCAGTCAACAGCATGCAGGTGGCGGCTATGGCATATGGAATCTTGCTACTTTGTTAGCTTGCTAGGGCTGTTAAACCCTAGTGACGGCGAGGAGGATGCAATGAAAATTTTGTGCCATCTAAGCAAAACCAAGAAAATTGACATGCAAGCACACCGGGATCCAATTATCTATCGACTGCTGAGGTATAGTTTGGGCATGGTGACTCCTTCAATGCTTGCAAAGTTTACTGCTGACAAAAGTTATTTTCAAGAGTGCGTTCACTATGAGGGTAATCGGGAGTGGTATTTATCATGGGACTGCAGAGGCAGTTACTCTTACAATGCAGAGTCCTAGAATTGTTGTGAACCTACAAATGGAAGAGGGAGCTCTACTGCTTCCAGCACTACATAGCTTTGAAGACTGCGTGGATTTAATTTCAATATTCATGGTATGCTATGGGTATTAATATGAAAGTGTGTTTTGGGCTTTCTATGTTTTTATTTAAAGGGGAAATTGTCTTCTGTTTATGGTTTTATTACAGATGAGTACACTTGTAAGATACTGTAGATCCCGTTGTAGATGTCCTTCATTGTGTTACATAGACTGCAAATAGGTAGCATGCGCACATCTGTTTTATATTTTATTATGTATTTCTTTTTGTCGAAAACGGGGTTTTAGGTACTATGGTTTGAGTATGTTTTCTCAAATGGGGAATTGTTGGTTCTGAACCCCGAAGTAGTCATTCATTCAAGATGACAGACAGTCATATGCCAGGGAGGTTGCGTGTTGTCAACGCATAAGGGATTATCCTTTATCCGTCTTAAGTTTGTGGAAGTTTGAGCCATCCTTCATCTTCTAAGATACTCTGGTGATCCCATAAATACATATGGAATTTCCCCCTAATTTCCGAATTTTTCTTGCATTTGAAACTATTTTTGCAATAAAAAAAAAGTTGAATAAAGTAATTTGGAAATCCCTTTTCACTAACATAATGATTTAAATATTGAATTTAAAGGGGAAAATAAGTGTAGGGTTTTTCCCATATTGATTACAACCCAGTAGGGAATTTTCCCATTATTTTTGAATTTTTCCTGCATTTGAAACTATTTTTGCACAAAACAAAAAAAAAAAAAAAAAGTTGAATAAAGTAATCTGGAACCCTTTTCACTAACATAATGATTTAAATATTGAATTTAAGGGGATAAATAAGTGTAGGGTTTTTCCCATGTTGATTAAACCCAATAGGAAATTTCCCCATTATGTTCGGATTTGTCCTGCATTTTTTATGATTTTTACAACAAAAAAAAAGAATAAAGTAATCCGGAAATCCCTTTTCACTAACATAATGATTTAAATATTGAATTTAACCAAAAACTCCTTGCAAAGTATAACCAAAAACTCCTGACGAAGTATTCTTCCCCATAGATACTTAGGAATTTTCTCCATTTTTTTCGGATTTTTCCTGCATTTTTTTATAATGAATTTTGGAAAAAAATGAATAAAATAATTATGAAATGTCAAGTGGCGGCGCTGGAGTGGGGAGCTGCAAACCTCAGTGACACACGGCGCATTCCCATGCAGCCACATGCCACTTTTCTAATTTTTTTATTCATTTTCACTTAAATATTCATTTAAAAATCAAATTTAAGGGGGAAAATTTCCTCCGAGATCGTGACGAGATTTCCTTCAATGACATATCCGGAAAAAGGCCACGGCATACAAATTTTTGGATACGAGATTAATGTTATCGAACAAATAAGAGTGTAAGGTTTACAAAGTGTACTAGTGTTTTATTTGCATCATCCACGCTAGAGTATGCTCCCTAATTTTATTTTTCAATGACTCCTAAACCTGGTATTGTACTTCCTTACGAAGTATTCAACCCCGTAGATACTTAGGAATTTCCCCCCCTCTTTTTCGGAATTTTCAAGCATTTTTTTACAAATTTTCCAAAAAAAAAAGAGAAAAGGAATAAAATAATCAGGAAATGCTAAGTGGCGGAGCTGGAGTGGGGAGCTGCAAACCTCAGCGACACACGACGCATTCCCATGCCGCCACACACCACTTTTCCAATTTTTTATTCATTTTCATAAGCATCAATTCCTAATATTTCGGTGCTTAGGTACCTTTAGCAACGATGCTAAAAGTCAATTTTCACATAGTGGCTAAGTGACTCATCGCTTCATAATGGTATATTTGAAAGCTTGAGGCCAGGAGGAAAGAATGGGAGGAGAGTGCTGTTGCTGCCTTTCCATGTTTTATATTCCTTTTTTTTTTTTTTTTTTTTTTTTTTTATATATATAGGACAAAAATGTAAAATCCTTATATGTTTTTTAATAATTCATTTGGTTTTTTGGCATTGAAAATTTATGAGTTTGCAGCACATAATATACGATTATTTTGATGAAAATAATGTACCTAAAATTGGGAAAATAAAATCCCGTCCCATAAATAAATAAATTTTAAAATAAAAATTAAAAAAACCTTGACTGTTTGGTATGCTTTACTCACATGCAGGTCGCATAACTGTTCGGTACACCTAAGTGAACGTTCCAAATTGCTATGTTCTTGCTCACCACTAGTACGTAGCATGCAGTCGTCAAATCATTTAAACCTTAAACTGTAGCCCGATCCAAATTAACAAATCGGAGATGGGATTTGATCGTGAGCATATTGTGATGCTTCCCATGATAGCTAAGGGTCATCTCATACCATTCTTGGCACTAGCAAAGCAAATGCAACAGAAAACAGGGTTTACCATCACCATTGCCACAACCCCACTCAACATTCAATACCTGCAAGCTACCATTTCCTCAACTTCATCATCATCAAACACTCAATCACACTCCAACAATTTTGACATCAACTTGGCTGAGCTTCCATTCTGCAGCTCAGACTTTGGCTTGCCCCCAGACACTGAGAGCACAGAGAATTTGTCTCTGAAACAAATTGGAGATCTTTGTGCTGCAACAGTGAATCTTGAAGTTCCTGCTCGCCGCCTAATCTTGGATATCATCGAAAAAGAAGGCCGCCCGCCACTTTGTATTATCTCAGATACGTTCTTTGGGTGGGCTACTAATCTTGCAAAGAGCTCAGGCACTGTGAATGTGACTTTCACAACATCCGGTGCTTATGGCAGTGCAGCCTTCATGTCCATTTGGCTTAACCTCCCACACCGATCCACAGCTTTATGCGATGGCTACTTCACGCTGCCCGGGTTTCCAGATCAGTCTCGTTTTCATATCTCTCAGCTGCATCACTATATAAGAGCAGCAAATGGGACAGATTCTTGGTCAAAATTTTACCAGTCCCAGTTTTCACTTTCTACCAAATCTTTCGGTTGGTTGTGTAATACTGCTGAGGAAATTGAGCCACTTGGATTGGAGATTTTGAGGCATTACTTTAGGCTTCCTGTTTGGTCCATTGGACCTCTTATTCCCAAAGATTCTCTCAAGAACTCATCCACTTCGGATTTAAGAGTTTCAAGGCAACCTGCTGAAAAATGCATGGAGTGGCTGGACTCGCATGGCTCAGATTCTGTTGTTTATATTTCCTTTGGTTCTCAGAACACAATCAGTGAAACACAGATGATAGAATTGGCTATTGGGTTAGAAGAAAGTGGAAGGGCTTTTATTTGGGTCATTAGGCCTCCAGTTGGGTATGATATGAAGGGAGAATTCAGAGCTGAATGGTTGCCTCGAGGGTTCGAAGATCGAATGTGCAAAAGCAAGAAAGGCTTGTTGGTGCACAACTGGGCACCACAGTTGGAGATTTTGTCACACAAATCCACAGGGGCATTTGTAAGTCATTGTGGGTGGAATTCAGTGCTGGAGAGCCTAAGCCAAGGAGTTCCGATTATAGGGTGGCCCTTGGCAGCCGAGCAGGCGTTTAACTCAAAGATGCTGGTGGAGGAGATGGGTGTGAGTGTGGAGCTGACAAGGGGAGTGCAGAGCGTTATTGTTGGCAAGGAGGTGAACAGATTGATAGATTTGGTAATGGACAAAAGTGGCGAAGGAGGAGAAATGAGGAAAAAAGCTGGTGCAATTAAGGCGCAGATAAGAGCAGCAATAAGAGAGGAGGCTGAATTCAAGGGATATTCTGCAAAGGCAATGGATGATTTTCTTGAAGCCATTCTATCAACAAGACAAAAACAAAAATCCTAACGAAGAGAGTTTGGATCATTCAATTTTCATGTGCAGCCCACGTGAAAGGAAAAGGATGCAGGCCCTGCGCTGCAGACTAATGTCGATCCCCCCTCTCTCCGCTTGACAACTGGCGTGGGCAAATGAAGGAGGCGTTGAAATCCAACGGCTCCATTTTCAAAGCCCTTGATCGTTTAAAAAAAATAATAATTCCAACAGCTATTCCAAGAAGATGTTTGTTTTTTTTTTTTTTTTTTTTTTTATTTTTTCAACATCTATGTATAATCAATGGCCACGATTATTTTTAGGCAATCTCAATTTTCTTTTTCTTTAAGTTTAATCATATATTTTGTTTTTCCAGGTCTCAATTATGTTTTTTTAATCATAATTTCAAGTACATATATTATCATGTATGTGTGGATATGATAACAAATTGATTTTCTTCATATATCCCATTCAATAATTTCAATTTTTTTTTTTTTTTTTTTTTTTTTTTTTTTTTGGTGTTAGAATATAGAGGAAAATGAAAGTGAAAATATGAGTGAGGATGAGAAGGGAGGAGTAACAAAAGTGAAAATAATTTCAAATAGATTTCACTTTTATTACTCATTCCTCTCATCTTCCCTTCTCATCTTCACTCTCATTCTCACTTTTATTTTCCCTCTTTTTTCTTTATATTGCAGCAAAAAAAATATAAACTAAAAACTAAAATTGAAATTTTTATCAAACGGACCCTTAATTTCTTTAGTTTTTAAATCATGTATCTAAGACTGCCTCGTTAAGTAATAAATTAAGTTTGGTGAATATATTTGGTGTGTTTAGCAGCACTTTTACATATAAGCTATAAAGTCAACTGGTTTCTTAATGAGGCTAAACTACAACCCTACTTTGCCAGTTGTCATTACAAACGCAAAAAAAAGCTTGACTGCAAGACCCATGCACCTCTTGAAGAACTCCAACGACCTTCAAAATCTGAGTTTAATCCATAACACAGATATTTTTTCTTTTTAATTGTGAATACAGGTTTTCTTTTTTCCTTTTTTATTTTATTAATATATATATTTTTTTTAAGTATAAAGGATTGGAGAAGGGGAGTTTATACAAATATTTATTGGGTATCTGGAGATTTCAAACATCTGTCCACATGGGTGGAGATGCCAACTAAACTATACCCCACCCAGTAGCGCTAGCGAATACAAGTTTTCCTTTTACTTCAACGAAGATGCAATTATCTGCAAATTGTCTATCAAGGCCATCAAGTAGGTTTGAAGGTTAATTAGTAGGTTCTTCTTCTTTTTGTTGATTAATTTAATAAGAGTTGGTTTATAAGCAGTTGACATTTGACCTGCTAAACATATATATGTGTGTGTGTGACATAATTAGCCATGAGCGAGCAGCCACACACAGATCGTACAGATTGTGATTGAAGCACAGTTGACAATTGAAATGTTGAATATATGCATCTCTATATGCATTACGTGATGTATTTCTTAAATATAGAATGCATCGAGAAAACACACTTAATTTTTTTCAACTTTGATGTCATTTATTGACATGATTAATTGTTTTTACTCAACAAGAAATCCTCATTTAGAATTATGGTTGCTAGCCTCGGATTGGTTAATCGCTTCACTTTTAGGTTTAAAGTATTAGACTTTGAGAATAACCAACCTATCATTAAATGAAATCAAAGTTAAAGAAAATTGAATAAAAATGAGGTTATTATCTTGATCATGAGAGTCTATAAATACGTACATACATAAGTGCGATATAACTATGAGCTCGCTGAACATATTTTGTTTTCTCCAAGTTGCATTAAGTCGTTGCATGACTTTCGTCTGAATCATGTTTTGATGAAGCATCTCCTCCACCCATCAATTCCTGGAATCATTCTTCCTTCACTGGTGGAGCCCTAAGAACACCCAATAGTGTGCAGTTATATATTTGCAGAGTTCAAATAGAAAACTTCTTATGGATTATTTGCAGTTATACTTGCTTTTTATTTTTTAAGTGAAATTATTTATGGATTATTTTAGATTAAAAATGTTCAGAAAATTAAATCATGAATGTTGAAACAAAAATTAAAAAAAAAAAAAAAAAAAAAAAAAAAAAAAAATTAAAAAGTTGTGGATGAGTCTGCAACATTGGAGGAAAAAATAGTTTGAGTCCTAAAAATACATGAATAGTTGTATTTTGGAGGGTAAAAATTTGAGTTTAGCCTGAACATAGTTAGAGATGACTTAAAAATGAAGAAGATACACAACAACAAAAAATAATCCCAAGAGCTTGGATCATTAAATGGAGACCTAAAAATCCGACAGTTTGGATCATTGAACTATTATAATTATCAATTATCAAACATTTCGAATTACCATTTGCAAAGCTCAAGCAACCCATCAATTTTCCTGTCGATATGAGCTAATCAATTGGACTTAATTTTCTTGACTTTGCTAAGGTGTTTTAATCCTTTACTTTGATTTTCTTTAACTATCTGCCAAGTGCCCACCATGGAAACAACAATTTCCTAGGGGCCGTAACGTTTTCAAGGCCCTATTTTCATTTTCTACTAAAAACACATTTAGTATGTCATTTTCATTTTCATTGGAATTCATTTTCTAAAAACAAATTCAAACACCAAATTTTCGTTTTCATTCACTAGAATTCATGTACAAAAACTGAAAACACTAAATTATTGATTTCATTTTCTATCCAGTATATTGGTTGATTTTTTTTCTATTTCTTTTTTCTTTTTTTTTGTTTGTTTGATTTTTCATTTGTCATTTAGTTTTTCAATTTTCTTTTTTTTCGTTGCACTTCATTATTTTGTTTTGTTACAAGAGTGTATATTAATTTTATGATAAAACCATCATATATTATTCTATTTATATTTATTTTTAAATATTTATTATAAACTAAAGATAATAGAATTTTATTATTATTCTCAAAGTATAAAATTTTCATTGTTTATAATAATTTTAGCCTTTAAAAAATATATATATTTTTAAGGACAGAAATTAGCAAAAATATACTAGAAAAATAACTCACATATTATTATTCTCAAATTATCCTACCAAACACGTTTTCACTGTTTTTATTTTCTAAATATGTTTTCTAATTAATCTACCAGACGCATTCTCGAATTCTGAAAATGCAAATTCCATTTCTCGTTTTCATTCTTTGAAAACATTCTCCAAAAACATTATCGAACGGGCTCTTAATGTCTTGAAATTTGTGAGGTAGTATCAGTAAGTAGATGTATTTAGCTAATTTCTTCCTTACTCCAGCTATTTACATGTTTATTTATTTGTCAATTTTTGAGGTAGTATGAGTAAGTAGATATATATGACGTTCCACTACTTGTTAATCAGATCTATACTAAATCTAACTCTGGATCAGCCTAGCTAGCCTGTTTGAACTTTTGACATAGAAGCATTTCTGGCAGAGCTTTCCTATTTTTGGCATGTTGATTTCAGCTTAAACATAAAACACAAATATTTAAGCAAAATTCACGTTTACAATAGTATTGTTACTCTCTTTTCGGCCGGGGCAGTCGACGGAAGGAACTTTTGGTCCTTTTTTTTTTGAGTGCGGGGCGTGCCACCACCAAGCCCTGAATTTGGGCTTGAATGGAATGTGAGTAGATGGATGTGTTGCGTCCGAGATCTAACTTTAATCAAACGATTGTTCGGCCGAGCAAGGAACCTCCTCACAGCCTAGGTTCTTTCACTACCTCGGGGTCAAGGCTTTATGTGAGCGACCAAATGATGTGGAGTGGGTGGAGATGTAGATGGAAGGTGAAACGTAATGAAACGGACAAGTGCGTAAAGTAAAGGTTCTTAAACTTAAATATAATTTAAAGACAAATGCATTAAGTAAAGTGCGAAAAATAAATAACGTAAAGACGAGAATTAAAGTGCGATAAATGAATCAAAGCGATAAGTAAAGCAAGAACGAAATGAAAGCGATAAGAACGATAAAGTAAAATGAACTTGAATTTAAACTTAATTGAAGTGCGATAACAATGAAACGTAAAGCAATTGAAAAATTGAAAAATTGAATTTAAATGACAAGAAAATATAAATTGAACGAGAATTTAAACTTATACTAAGAAAATAAAGAACTTGCTACACTAAGTGCATGAAAAGTAAAATCCTAAGTCTAGGAAAAGAAAAGTGCGAGACGAAAGATAGGTTTGTCTGTATGATGTTGTGTGTCTGATGTCTTCATGGAGCAAGGTTTATATAGGGCACTCGTCAGCCCATGGGCTGGCCATTGAATGGCCAAATGTCAACTCTTCTTAAAAATCATTCCTTTCGAAGCCCTCCTAAATCCGTGAGATTGTATTGAAGGAGATATTCTGACATGCTTGATTCTTCCTTGTTTTGGATCATTCGGAGTCATTCCTTGATTTCTTTCCTTGTGAGGCCCTCCGTCATGTGCACATAATCTTCCGAAAATCTTGGGCTTGAAATTGGTGGCTTGAGCTAAAACCTTTAATCTCTTGGCATAATATGAGGGTGCCCTTCGTGATCTTTAAATTTCTAAAGCTCTAGAATTAGTCTGCTGAGGAACTTGATTCAATTTTTATTTTCATATATATATATAATATATATATATATATATATAAATATTATACGAATCAACAATCCAAACTGCTGGCCCAGCCACTATGCATAGAAACATGCATGCCAGAATTCATGCTTGTTGACTTCAATACTCAAAGGGCCCATATGTGTAATATATATATATATATATATATATATAATTTAAACTCTCAAACCCCATAGACTGAAGGCAATAATTCTAACATTTAAACCAAACACAAGTCGGCCGCCACTCCCTCAAACTTTCGGCTGCATGGGTGATATTCACTCACAATATATATATATATATATATATATTATATTATATAAGGCAAGGAAGTTACAATTTGCAGAGCCCAGTCACATTTGTGCGCCCAAAAATTCCCATAGCTCCAGTCGCACAGGAAATCCTAAGGCCCAACTTGCCATATCTTGGTTTTTATTGCGGCCGCATCTTGGCTTCCCATGTTTCGGCCGCAATCCAGCCTCACTTTGACATAGAGCCCGGCCGATATTTCCAACAGCTCCAACATTCTCGGCCGCCACGAGGTTCCTTGGAGACCCGGCCGAGATTTCCCAATTTCTCCAGCACCTCCTACCGCATCATCTCAACAGCCCGGCCGCATATTCATCTGCCCAGCTCCGCCCATTTTATCCGGCCGCACTAAATTGTGCCCAGCTACATTCGGGCAAATCTCGGCTGCACTAAATTGTCCCTAGCTTCTCAAGCCGCCCGACTATATTTTCTATTGGGCTCGGCCGCAATAGTCCATCAAACTCGACCGCTCCAGTCACCAGTTCCGGCCGTGTCTTCGAAAGTCCAGGAATTCCAAAAACCCGGCTGCCCAGTTCTGCATTTGAGAGGCCCAGCCGCATATCCTTGTCTGCCCGGCCAACTTTCGTGCTCTCAGAAATTGCCCAAGTTTGGTGGATTTCTAGCACCTTAGAGTATAATATCTTCATCATAAAACAATTTCCTGCGTTCATTAGCCAATTCTTTTTAACTCTTATTTCCCAAAATATTAGTGACGCAATACTTTCAACAAAAAAACGCAGATTTTTTCATTTTGAAATGATGTGGATGAAAGAAAAGGGATTTGAAGATGTTGTAAAGGGAGCCTGGAAGTATAATGTAGATGAGCAATCTTCCGTGAAAGAAAAGCTCAAAAGGTGTGCTATTTCTTTAAAAAATTGGGAAAAAGTTGTCTTTGGTAGTGTCAGGACTCAATTAAAGGAGTGTAAAGAAGAGCTGGCACTTTTGCTATGCATTAACCCTTCAGACCAACAAAGTTAGAGGAAGGCTTTTCTTGGAAAAAAAGATTGACAACATGCTGGAAAAATAAGAAATTATGTAGCAACAACGTTCAAGGGTGGAGTGGTTGAAAGAAGGAGATAAAAATACTAGTTATTTCCATGAAAAAGCAAGGGAGAGAACAAAGAATAATTTCATACTAGGAGTGTATAATTCAAAAGGGAAATGGTGTATGGATAGGAGATTGGTAACAAAAATTTTCAATTGCCATTTTCAGTCTCTCTTTACGAAAACATGAGATTATAACATTGAGGTGATCACTGATATGGTTAGTCCAAAAGTGCCTGATCAAATGAAGCATTTCCTTGTTAAGCCTTACAATAGAGATGAGTCTCCATACTTAATGACTTGAGACCTTGTCATTTCCTACATATAGAGACGATATTGTGTGTACTGGTCTTTGCGGAATATTGACGCCCAATCAACATTCCTATGACCAGAAACATATTCAAGATTTAGGGATGATGAGAACCTTTCTTGCCCATTGATAACATAATATGTCTTTTATCAAAGATGTCCTTAACTCTAACTATTGCATAATTAGTTGGCTTTAAGGGCATATTTCTAAAAACACTTAATTGTAATAATATAGTAACTTGGATTGAAGAGGTTCCCCTATGGCTAGAGCCAGTTATACAAGATGATATTGTTGTATCCTCTTAATTGTTATCAATGATTTCCTCTTTTCCAAATATAAAAAAATAAAAAATAAAAAATAAAAAAAACATTAAACCATGCACAAGACATTTCACTAGTATTATATTCTTGAGAGCATTTTTGCTCACCACCCTTAATTGGCGGTGTGCATTATCATCGCATTAATTTAATGGTAATTAATGCGTGGTGAGCAAAAATGTTCACATACAGCCTTACCAACAAAGTTACAGAGTGTTATAAAATTAGGCAACAAGTGTTATAAAATTAACAGTGCGTTGAAGTTACTGAGTCTTGTGTCTGGTTAGGGTTTAGGAAATAAGGTTTTGGTCTGCCATCGCAACCTTTTGTGTGGAGTTGGTGCTGGTTTGGCCATCGAGGTTTCTCATCGTCTGCAGGGTTTCCCATCATTTGGTGGTGGTGTTGGTGTTGTTTTGGTTGATGGGGTTTTGAGTTTTTCGTCTCAAGGTTTGGTTTGGTTGCTTGGATTTGGTTTTCTTCTCAAAGTCTTGGCTGCGGGCTACTTTTTCTGAGGCTAATGGATCCCATCGATGGGATTACATAGGGGCTTACTATATCTCTTGCGATTTCGAATGCGGAGGCTGTCGATGTTGTTGGTCTTGATGATCTTGATGGCCTAAAAGCGACTCGCTTTCTCTTGGTGGGGTGGTTGCTGACGATTAAAGACTATCACAAGGATTCCTTGGTGGGCACGATGAAGCGTACTTGGCATACAAAAGAGGAGTTCTCTTCTGTTACCTTAGAGGATTCTAAACGTATTCTATTTTCTTTCAAGAGTGATCTCGATTGTAAAAGGGTGATGAGGTTCTCACCATGGACTATTAGTAAGGCTTTATTGTTATTGTCAGCAACTGATGGTAGCGTTGATCCCTATAATGTTTTGCTGGACTTACAAAAATTTTGGGTTAGGGTTTGGGGTATCCCACCTCTTTTCCTTACTCCAGCAAATGGAAGAAAAACTTGGGAATTTTTTTGGGGACCTTTGTTACGATAGATAAGGGACTTAATAGTGTGATTGTTTAGGGAGTTTCCTGCGCATCCGAGTGGGTTTAAAGATGACAAAACCTTTGAAATGTTGTGTTACTCTAATACTTGTACTGGATGAACTTGCCAAACCCTACAAAATAGAATATGAAAGATTTTTATTTTTATTTTTATTTTTTTGCGTGTGTCTATTTTGTGGTAGGTTGGATCACGTCGGGTCTGGGTGTGAATTCAAAAATTCGGGGGTTATTGACAAAGAGCAATGTTGTAGGTGGAAGACGTCAATAAAGGACGTTTTTCATATTCGAGTTCCAAATGGTTTGACAAGAAGAATCTTGGGTTTCGGTGAGGAGTTGCATAGTCAGAAACTGGCTTCAGGGAGTCATGTTTCACCTGTAGGGACTGTTCATTCGCACTATGTGGCCTTCGCTGCTAAGAAGGATATCTCATTAGGTTCATATGATACCTTACATAGAGTCTCTGAGGGGTCTCTCCCCAAGAAGATAAGGTTGGCATATGATTCTGCCACAGAAGTACCTCATTATGGAGAATTTGATGTTACTGATGTGCTTTGTGATGTTCCTGTTCAATAAGTTTGGATTTAGTTGCAGGAAGGAGATTCTAGGGGCCCAAACTAAAGATGTGGTGCCAGATAACATGCCATATGAATGTACCAGTACTACGCACAACGTGAACTCCCTTCCCCCTAGTTGTCACGAAGGTTCTTCTTCATTTGGAAAAAGGGGATTCAAGAGGATGAGGGGGGAACGTCCTCGAGGTTGTTAAAAAATGAACGGTGTGGGGCAACGAGGTAATTCTGTTGGGGAGGCTAAAATAGCTGGTATGGCTAGCAAATCTGTGGTAGGTCATGAGGAATAGGCCTATCATGAGAAATGACGATCCTCTGTTGGAATGTGCGTGGTTTGGGCAATCCACGTACATTTCGCACTCTAAAGTTCTTCTTTATAGCTAAATAGCCTCGCGTTATTTTTCTGATTGAGACTAAGAAGACGAATGAATGGAGGTAGTACAAAGACAGTTAGGAATGAATGGGTGTTTCAGTGTGGGTCGTATTGGAATCTCTAGAGGTTTGGCTATATTTTGGCAAGATGAGGTTATTGTTTCCCTTTGACCCTACTCAAAAGGTCATATTGATGTCTTTATTTAAGGGGTGGAGCATATAGGATTCAGGTTTACATGGTTTTATGGTCATCCTGAAACGCATCTTCGAAAACATTCTTGGGAGCTATTGTGCAGGTTGGATGGAAATGGCAGTGGACTGTGGGTAGTTGGTGGAGATTTTAATGAGATCCTCTGAGTAAGCGAATACTAGGGAAGAAGGTTTAGACCTATGCCACAGTTGCGTGACTTTGGCGAGGCTCTTGATGATTGTGTCTTAAAGGTGATCAATTATACAAGGTACAAGTTTACATGGACAAATAGATGGCAAGGAGAAGGGAATGTAAGGTTAGATAGGGTGGTGGCTAATGATGAGATGTTGTTGAACTTTTCAGATATGCGTACTCATCATATAATTCCTTTGTGTCTGACAATTTACCTACTTTACTTATATTTGGGGTGAGTAATACAAGAAGAAGACATCGGCGTTTTACGTTTGAAGAGATGTGGACTCTTATTGATGGTTGTCAAGAAACAATAACCCAGGCCTGGGGAGGTGAGGTTGGCATAGTGGTTGACAAGATTATGTCATGTCAGACTTCTTTGCTGTCTTGGAACATGGTGTAAACACGAATTTCCTGCGACAAATGAAACAAGAACAATTGTACAAAATAATATTTGTATTAATGAAATTTTGGGTTACAATCTCTGTATCGAATCCTCTGATTCGATCTCCAAAGTATTTAAAGAAAATTTGTGTTTGATACAAGGGTCGTAGAGACTTGATCTGGATCAAACGGGTAGCACAAGGCTTGTTTGGTGTTTGGATTTTTCTAGGGTGGAGGAACCGGCACGTATTTGTTGTGCTTGGTGGTTCTTCCAAAGTGAGGTGAAAAATGCAGAGAGTTTTCTGTTTCTTCTGAATGCTAGGTTTTCTGAACCCCTCATTCCGTCTTGAGGCCTCCTATTTATAGGCTCTTGTAGGATGCTTGACCTAAATAACTTTTCCTATTTAAAACCTTGTTTTGTGGGATTTTGATTTGATTTAAATCAATTCCCATAATCTGGCAATTTAACCAGATTATCTTCAATTGATTAACCTGATTAATATTTGATTTAAATCAAAGTCAATCACAGAAGATTCTTTCCCTTAATTTTGTCTTCATCTTAAACCGTTTGATGCACTCCGTCGGATGTCGCCACGTGTCAGTTTTTGACAATTAAACCGATTTTGATGAGTCACACGCCACATGGGCGAATTATGGGGCCCACAATTTAATCCACCGAACCATAATTATTTTCTCGTCCAATGGAATTTATTGCACCAAAATTTCTTTGTCTACAAATTGCCCCCACTTCGTGATGCATTGTAGACATGTGCTTTTTCACATGTAGGAGGTGCAGCTTGAAGTGTTACTTCTTCATGTCTTTCTAATAATTTGGATTGCTTCCAATGTGGAGCTTTGAAAGTTAGCCACCCTTTCTTTTTTTTTGTTTTTTTTGTTTTTTGATCTTGTGAAACAAGAAACAAAATCCAATATTTTCCTAAACTAGGAATGAGAAACCCTAGCACCACCAGAAGCTTTAAATTGCTAGGGTTTAAATTGCATTACGTTCATGAATATTGAGATCAACCAAATAGAACAGCAGAAAAACTCCTCTTGTCGGCAAGAAGGTCTACAACTTTGAAGTTTGCATCATCTGAATTCTCAGCAACCAAAGTGGTGAGAGTTGCTTCTTTTCCTTCGTTGTTTGATTCTGTCATATATATATATATATATATATATATATATATGCCTGCTTGCAGCCAGTGGAACAAAGAAAATTGACATTGAATTTTTATTTTTCATAGCCACCAGAACCCACCGTTTTGGGCACATCAAGAGACTTGATGAATGAATAGTAGATTCTCAATTGGTATGAACATCAAATTCCCTTGGCATACGAATTTACTATGCTTGCGTCAATTTTTTTGTGTCTTTTTTATTTATTTATAAAGGGGAAAAGGGAAGGCTGGCAGGTTCGAGTCCACCTGCGCTGGGCTCAAGGCGTCAGGCCAGAAGGCGTCAGGCCTTGTGTGTGAGGTGGGCTGGCATGAGTTGGAGAGTGCGGGCCAGAAGGAGGTGCTGGGCTGAGCAGGCTGAGACGCGAGCTGGGCTGCACGCTGGAGCATGGGCAAGCGACGATGGGCTTTACGTAAGGAATGGGCTGCGCAAGCTGGCGCCTTTAGCGAGCGGGCCAGGCGCGACATGGGCCTCCTTGCTGGATCTGGGGTTGGACGCAAGCTCGGCTGTTCTTGACGCGGGCCTAGATGGATGCATGCTGGGCTGCGACAATTGCTGGGCCTTCGTACTGGCTGGGTTGGAAAAGTGGGCGTACTTGGCTGCCCCCATTCAGCTTTCTCCTCCTTTTTGTTTTTTTTCGCTGCTGCTACACATCTATTACTCTTTCAATCTTTTTATTTATTTATATATATTATTTATTTATTTATTATTTTTTTTTATATGATGATATTTATACACATATATATTTTTTACAATAGGTACTTTGAAAGAACGTGAAGAACGTTGACGTCCTATACTGCTTGGATTTGATCCCATCTCTCCGACTTGGTGATAACCCGCTCAAGCGCTTAGACTTTACGTAAGTGGAGGACGAGTGAAGAACATAGACGTCCTATACCGCTTGGGTTTGATCCATCTCTCCGACTTGGTGATAACCCGCTCAAGCGCTTAGGCTTTATGTAAGGGAAGACGAGTGAAGATCGTTTCTCGAGACATTCCACCTTTACCCGGCTCTTTAAACTTGTACAAGTAAGCTCTTTTTATATTTTTATTTTTAAGTATGAAGTCACCAGCCTGATACTGAATATTGTTTCATGTCGCTTATCTTATACAGATGGCCTTCTTCAAGTGTTTCAAGAAAGGCACCATTACTATTCTTGAGGATGAAAGTAATAACCAGGACGAAGGTACCACATTGCTTGTAGGTGCGCCTCTCCTAGCTTCGGAAGTATCTGAGGGGGACAATTATCTTCATATTCCGTCTTGGTCTCAAGATGTGTTTTGTCAACTCAGCAGCTTCAAAAAATCCAAGTCTACAGATAGGGACCTTCACTCCATTGTTTTACAGTTAAAGTCCTCCCATCATACAGATACTGATTCATTGAAGGCGTTCGAGCTTCTTAGCGATCGAATCAATAATGGAGCAGTGAATTGGAGTTCTGCTCTCCCGACGGTTGGTGAATCTACAATTATTGAGTATTACTGGGAGTGGCTTGAAGATGTGCTAAGTAGAAATACTCAGGTTCTTAAGAGCACCGGTCTATATAATGCGGTATTTGCCTCATTATTTAGCTATGATTGACATGCTCCAGTCATTCAAGCCTTTTGCGAGTACTGGTGTCCTGCAACGAATACTCTTCATATGTTGAAAGGGCTCCAATTGATCTTTCTTGAGCCGCAATGTACAATATGAGTGGTTTGCCTGGAATATGAGCTCCTAACAGTGGTGAACTCGATAGGTAATTCTTTATGCTTTCAAAGGCATTGTGACAAGCTTCATCCCAAACAAATGGAACATCTTTTTTCATAAGGCGACTGAATGGCTGACACCTCCTTGCTAAGTTTGAGATGAATCGCCAAATAAACGCGAGACGCCCTTGTAAACTTTTCAACTCATGTAAATTTCTTGGCTCGAGCATATCTCGGATCACTTTAATCTTAGTCTGGTCTACTTTGATGCCTCGATGTTTAACGATGAAACCAAGAAATTTACCTGACGTGACGCCGAAAGCACACTTCAAAGGGTTCATCTTGAGTTGGTACTTCCGCAATCTGTTAAACACCATTCTCAAGTCTTTCAAGTGATCTTCTCTTCTTTTTGACTTGATCACCAGGTCATCAACGTAGCACTCGACATTCTTGTGAAGCATGTCACCAAAGATCTTTTGCATTGCAAGTTGATAGGTCGTACCTGCATTCTTGAGGCCAAATGGCATCACCTTGTAACGGTAAATTCCTTTTGGAGTGCGAAAAGCCGTGAGTTCTTCGTCCTCTGGCGGCATTCTTATTTGATTGTATCCAGATGAACCATCCATGAAAGATAAGGCTTCATGACCTGTGGTTGCATCGACCATGAGCTCAATTATGGGCAATGGAAAGTCATCCTTCGGGCAAGCCTCGTTTAAGTCTCAGAAGTCAACACAAATACAAATTTGTCCAATGATTTTCTTCTTCACTGGAACAATGTTCGCTATCCACGTCGGGTATTTCACCTTCCTAATAAATCCAGTGGCGATCAACTTGTCGACTTCAGCTTCGATTTGACTTAGGAGCTCTGGACGGAAGCGACGTTGAGTTTGTTTGATTGGACACGTTCCAGGTTTGACTGCAAGGTGATGGATTGCAACTTTTGGATCAAGGCCTGGCATGTCCTTATACGTCCAAGCAAAGACATCTTTATACTCAAGTAACAACTGATGGTATAATTCTTCTTCGCTATGATTCAAAAGTTCACTAACGAATATAGGTCTTGGGTCTTCATTTGTGCCCAAGTTGAGCTCTTTTCATTCATCAACAGTCGCTTGGCCCCCATCTTCTAATGCAGTAGGAGCATTATGAACCTCATCCTCGAAAGGTTCCTCTTCATCGAGCTCTTTAATCGTAACGTGATGAACAGCTAGAATCTCTGCTTCTTCATCGTCACTTTCATTTTGTTGACACAAAGCTTTCCAAGTTTGTATGATTGTTCGTCGTTTCACTTTGAGTTGGTCACCTGAAGTTACGTCTAATGTTGAGTGACGTTTCATACGTGACGGGATTAGGCTCCGAATTTCATTATCTTCCGTCGAATCAACATGAACTCCACTTTCTAACTCTCGCTGGCTTTCCTCTTCAGACGGCTTGCTTAGGACTCCGAGTCTTTCTAGCGCCGATCTGTGTGGAGCTGATTGGATTCTTCTTTGATTCCTATGTCCAGATATCCTTTTCAACACAGAAGGTCGTGATGTCGATTCTTCAATGCTGCTAAAAACTGAGGTCCGCTGGGTAGGCTTGGCTAAACAGCCAAACACTGAGGCTCTCTTAATAACCTTTGGTTCTTCTTCCTCCTCAACTGCTTCGATACTAATGTGTTGAGCTTCTGCCTTCTTTTCTTTTCTTCTAGTAGAGATCTTGACAAGTACAACAGGAGTAAAACCTAGGCCTGCTCTAGCTAAGTCAATCATGTAACCTTGCTCTTTCAACTTCTTTTGGGTTTCGCTAAGGCTATGCGTCCTTTCTCCTGTGACATCTGGATTAAGCTCCCCCAGCGAATAAGATAAGCCGAAGTCATAACTGGCCTTTGACATGAGCTTATAAGCATTAGGATCAAAACCTTCTTTAGTTCTTTTGATCGGAAGATATTCACGTCTTGTTGTATCTTGTGATGGTCTGACGAACCCTGGTACTGAAGATTTCGACACATTTGAATTGCTCAACTTGGGTAAAGGCATAGTTGTAGACTCCTTCAAGAACTTCATGTCACTTTCCCCTAACTTTCTTGGTTTCACTTCTTCTCCAAATGGGGATTGGCCCTCCTTCCTTCAGGATCATGAGACATAACGAAGAGCAAGAATAGATACCTTCTGTGAATCTATCGGTGGTGATCCCATTTGTCCAAAAGCAGTGCTTTTTGACTTATTATCATCATTCTCTTCAATGAAAAGGCACTTTGACTGCTCATCTTTTCTTGGTATGGCTTTGCTGTCGAGTGGACCTCAGCGGGAATAACTTCAGATACCATGTCTTCATCCATGTAAAACTTGGCATCGACGAAATAAGATTCGGCTTCGATAAATGGTTTGACATCACCCAGGATTTTCTTTACTCCACCTCTGTAAAATTTGAAACATTGATGTAAAGTCGAAGGCACTATCCCATTCTCATGCACCCACGGCCTTCCTAAGAGAAGATTGTAGGAAGTCTTGACATCAATCACGTGAAATAAGGTGTTGGACCTTAAATCACCTATCACGAGCTCAATTCTGATCATGCCCATGGCTCTTTGCCCCCCTTGATTGAAGCCTTGAATCATGAGACGACTTCGAGACAATTCATCTATGGTGATGCCTAACTTTGTCATTGTTGACTTAGGCATTATGTTTACTGCTGAACCTCCATCCACGAGCATGCGACTAAGTTTCTGTTCTCGCACATACCAAGCCACGAAAAGCGGACAGTTGTGTGGTTTGGACCCTAACAAAAGATCTTCATCGGTGAATGTGATGGAAGCACATGTCGCGCAACAGATAGCACGGTCTTGAGACTTAGGTTCTAATTTTTTGGCATCTCTTATTGTATTTGGATGAATATTAAGATCCATCAACGCCTTTACCAATGCTACGTGTATTGCTTCAAGAAGTTCCACCGCTTCCTCAATATTGAAGTGCGATGGTGAATCCTCTACCTGTGTCAAGACCTTTTGCTCTTCATGAGTTTCAGATCTTCCTTCTGAGACATCTTCGTCATCTACTTGATAGCAAGTTGTCATATGAACAGTCTCCGTTGGTTCTCTTACGAAGAACACTTTGGGAAAGTATTCTCCTAGCGTAATTGGAATTCGTGGTTCTTGGGTTAGTGGTCCACTTTCTTGGTTAGAATCTCTCCTCACCATTATTCTGGTTTTGGTTTTAGAGCGTTTGTGCGAACTCCTCTTTCGTCGCTCCCTCTTTGATTGAGTATTTTGTCTTTGAGGAATGCGCTTTGTACGAGACTTCTGCTGAGTAATGAGCGTCCATCCTTCATTGTCATCGAAAGATGAGTCACCAACAAAGCCATCAGCTCCTCGATTTTTTGGTTCGCTAGCCACCTCCTTTCTACACAGATTAGTCACCTGGTGTTGGTCCCTTGTTGCTTGAAACTCCGATCTTCTTGACGGGCTTATCTGTCTTTTGTCCAAAGACTTTCTCCTTTCTTTGTTCCATGACGGGTTCATGCTTTCCTCTGTGACTAGCTATACTCAACTCCATATCATGGGCACGCGTGGCTAGCTCCTCAAACGTGCGGGGTTTAATTCCTTTTAGAATGTAGATATCTCCAAAAGCCTATCCTTGCAGTCCAAGCTTAATGAGCGCCACTGATTGATGTAATCAACGATAGGTTCATCTTTCCATTGCTTGGTATTTGTGAGTTCCATCATACTCACAGTGTGACGAGTGCTATAGAATCTGTTCAAGAATTCTCTCTCCATCTGATCCTAACTGTCAAGGGATTCGAACTCCAAGTCTGTATACCAATCAAATGCATTTCATTTAAAGGAACGAACAAATTGTTTCACCAGATGGTCACCCTCTGTCCCGGCATTGTTGCATGTTTCGACGAAGTGTGCAACATGCTATTTTGGGTTGCCCTTTCATCGAATTGTTGGAATTTGGGAGGTTGATATCCTGTCGACATCCGCAAGTTGTCTATCCTCCTGGTGTATGGCTTAGAATACATGAGCGTGTCTCCGGAAGGTGCTCCGTATTGAACCCTGATGGTGTTCGCGATCATGTCCTGAAGTTGTTGGATCGAAAAAAAACCCACCGAGGCAGCGTCAACTTTTCCGTGCGACTTCTCACCCGACTCTATTTCATGACCCAATCCTTTCTCGCTGGATTCAGCCTCATGATGTGGTCCTTTCTTGTTTGCGTCTTGACCAGGCTCCTTATCCTGATGCGCTTCCCACTTGTTGATGAGAGAAGCAATCTGCGCATCCTTCTCTTCAACCATCTTCGTCAGTTTCGTGACCACTTCGCTCATATGGGCTAGCTGTTCTTCAATAGACATTGCTCCCGTCACCATAACTAGCATGGCCATAGAATAAGACTCACCTATGGACGCTGATGCAATCTTCTTCTGTTGGTCGTCATGCGGGGATCCATGGTATGAGCCCGTGCTCGAGTCAGCGTCTGAAACAGGCGAGAGGGAACATTCTCTTGAATTCTTCGAGCCCAAAAAACTCCTTTCTTCGTTCCGAGAGTTTCTCTCATCCACCCAGGAGATATTCTTCTTTGCCCCCAAGGAGGCCAGATTGATAATCGGTTCACGTCTTTCGCCTTGGCTTGAGTCAGTATGGAAGTAACCTGTAGAGTTGCGAATATCGCCTTGGCCTTGCTTTAGGTGACGACCCCAGCAGAATCTCCACTTGAGAAGGAGGCGCTCACGTTTTTCCCTTTCGCCGCAAGAATGGTTTGAATCTTCTTAGAGGCCATCGTTTTTGGCGTGTTGGTTGATTTTGGAACTGGAAAAAGAGATGATAGGTAGAGATTGTCCCACCGGGCGTGCCAAATTTGTAAACACGAATTTCCTGCGACAAATGAAACAAGAACACGTGTACAAAATAATATTTGTATTAATGAAATTTAGGGTTACAATCTCTATATTGAATCCTCTGATTCGATCTCCAAAGTGTTTAAAGAAAATTTTTATTTGACACAAGGGTCGTAGAGACTTGATAGTGATCAAACGGATAGCACAAGGCTTGTTTGGTGTTTGGATTTTTCTAGGGTGGAGGAACCGGCACGTATTTGTTGTGCTTCGTGGTTCTTCCAAAGTGAGGTGAAGAATGCAGAGAATTTTCTGTTTCTTCTGAATGCTAGGTTTTTCTGAACCCCTCCTTCAGTCTTAAGGCCTCCTATTTATAGGCTCTTGTAGGATGCTTGACCTAAATAACTTTCCCTATTTAAAACCTTGTTTTGTGGGATTTTGATTTGATTTTAATCAATTCCCATAATCTAGCAATTTAACCAGATTATCTTCAATTGATTGACCTGATTAATATTTGATTTAAATCAAAGTCAATCACAGAAGATTCTTTCCTTTAATTTTGTCTTCATCTTGAACCGTTTGATGCACTCCGTCGGATGTTGCCACGTGTCACTTTTTGACAACTAATCCGATTTTGATGAGTCACACGCCACATGGGCGAATTATGGGGCCCACAATTTAATCCACCGAACCCTAATTATTTTCTCGTCCAATGGAATTTATTGCACCAAAATTTCTTTGTCTACACATAGAAAAGGTTGGACTTATTCCTAGGCAAATTCAAGATGTGCAAGATAAGTTAAACGATATACAAAGTCATGACTTGACCCACAGGCCACCCAATATCAACGTCAGTTGACTAATGAGCTGCATGTTTTGCTAGAGCGAGAGGAAACTTTGTGGCAGCAACGGTCTCGTATAGCGTGGTTAAAATTTGGTGACAAGAATACCAAGTTTTTCCATTCTCATGAGAAGCTCAAGGGGGCATGAATTTTTAAAAGGAGTGTTTGATTCAAACAATGTTTGGATTTCCTCTAAAAATGCAGTGGGCTTAGTTTTTTGTGACTATTTTCAATAGCTTTTCTCTTCAAATGGTACCCGGAATGTTGATGGAATACTAGATACCATGAGACTGGTGATTACTCCGGAGCAAAATGGTTGGTTGTGTTGCCTTTTACTCGGGGCGAGATTGAAGGAGCTTTGTTCCAAATGTTTCCAACGAAATCCCCTGATATGGATGGTTGACCAGCTCTTTTTTATCAGAAATATTGGGATGTTGTCGGTAATGACCTGGTGGGATTTTGTCTACAAGTGCTTAATGATGGGGGAAGTGTGAAAGAAATCAGCCATACTCTTATCACTCTCATTCCGGAGGTAGATAATCTGACACGAGTTACCGAGTTTCATCCCATTAGTTTGTGCTCGGTTCACTACAAAATTATATATATACTAAAACTGAACAAAATCACTGTTCCTAGACTATTCATTCTCAATAGTGGAATGACGTTTGTGCCCTTACTTAATTGGTTGCCCTCTTAATTATGTTCAGTAAAATGGCATTTTTGCCCTAATGCATAGCGACATAACCCTTTTTTCTGGTCGCTGGAGAAACCAAAGCCGCTTCATCGAAGAGAAGTGAGAGAGAGAGGCCTCAGAGATCATAGTCGTCTTCTCCAACTCTCTCCCCGTCTCTTTCCCTTTCTCTCTGCCGCCGCCGCCGTCATCATCACAAGCACCGACTCTCCGCCACTGCATTGGTCTTCTTCTTCAGATCCAACTCCAGCTTTCTCTCCGTTTCAGTCTCTTTCTCTCACTGATCTGTAAGTAAATTTTGCTTCATCTTTCCATTCGATTTTTGTTGCTCTTCTTTTTCATTTTTGTTGTTACTAATATCTTGGATCTTATTTGATTAGACTATAAGACCTGTTTTAATTTGCTGCCCTAAAAGTCCAAATCCCTAATTTTTCCTCATCGTGGGTTTGTGTTATTGATTTGCAAATTTTATCTAAATGCTGAAATTGATTTGATTGTGTTATTATTTTGATTAAATTAGGTTAAACAATTTAGTTATTAAAATACTATATGATTGCTTTTGATAAGATTTTCTATTTGGTTATTAAAAATTAGTTGGTAAACCCTGAAAATCGGTATTTGGATATGCTGGTTCTTTTGTTACAGGGTTTAGGATAGCTCTGTTGTTTTGGTAAGCATGATATGCTGCTATTTGAAATTTTTAGGGTTTAGCAGAGAACTGAAATTCTTTGAGTTTAGCAAAGAATTTTCAAATCTTTGATGACAACGACTATGTAAATATAGTTATTTTGTGATTTTGATTGTTTAAGGTGACTTTTCATTGCTTAGGCAGGTTTTTAAATTAAAAAAAAAAGAGATTAAAATTGATGAATATTTCAATTGTTGGTTATATTTATTATTTGGTTTTTCTTTTGATCTTCCTTTTTAATCGTTTTTGTTGATTGATATAGTGATTGTTTTTCTTTTTCTTTTTTATAATTGTTTTGGGTTGTGTTTGATTTATGCTCAAAAGAATTGCCCCCAGTTTTTTATTCTCTTTGTTTTTCTAAAAGACAAGTATTTAGAATTTTCAACTGGACAAAGAACTTTACATGTAATATTCTAAACGCTGAGAGAATTCCCTGCAACTAGCCTTTGGAAATATGTTGTTGTCAGTGTTCTTCTAAAAGAAAAAGCCAAGTCTAAGACTATGAGGATTAATTCCTTATCATTGTGGTAGGCATGAAAAGCTTTTACTTGATCGAACAACTTGGCCAATAGGCAATCTAATACCAAGAAAACTAACAGAACAATGGATGATGGATTTTGTATTATATTCAAAAGTCTTGATTTGCCTCATTTTAATGCCAAAAAGTTGAAAAATCTTGATATTGGATCATGCATTAACGAATATAGTTTCAAACGGGATTTGAAATATCTTATTTAGTGTTAGTATCCAGTGAAATACAATGAATATAAATTAAGGAAATGGATTCTTCAAATTTCTTGCTGGGGGAATTTGCTGCCCATTGATATACAATTCTGCTATCATTGTTAATTAAATTGATTAATTACTTCATTATGGCTGCATTGCGATATTGCCAATGTCGAAAAGGATTTATATTTGAGAGATGTTATTCTGTTTTGTTTTGTCTCTGTTTGTTTTTGTTTTCTAGGATTTTTCTTTTGTTTTAGTAGTGGACTAACAAAGTTGAAGCATCTCATATAAAAACGCTACACAGGAAAACATATTTGAACAGTTTTGGGACTAGAAAATCAAAACCTTCGATTTTTTCGATTTTTTCGATTTTTTCTCCTCTTCTTCCTTAACCATGTCTACTTTTTATGTTTTGTAGGTGGTGTTTTGCTGCTTTAGATAGAGCCGTTTGGTGGTTGTTTTTGGTTCTGTTAAACAAGAGGTTCGTATCTATGTTGAAAACAAACAAAAAATGAACACATGATCTAAGCTTCAAAAACTTTTATGTTTTTGTTCTCTATTTTAGAAACACTTGCTTTTGTCCCCAACAAAAAACAACCAATTCATCAGCTGTTGATGGATCACTCTAAATTGTGTAATGATCTATTGTTGTTAATATTAGTTTTTTTAATTTTTAATTTTTTGTTTTTATGTTCATATGTTTTTATACTAATTTTGTGTAGAATATATTCATTTGGTGATTTCATGTTATAGATATTAAAAACTGTCTCAATAGCTATTTGATGTGTTTTACTGCCAATATATGAACATAAATGAATATATAACATAAAAAGAAAAAGAGACCAACATGACGATGTTGATGACTGCTAGATAATTTTGTACACATCTTTATAGTGATAAAACCTTTTCTTTTTTCAGATTCAAAACACAATGAACATTGCTTCTATCCGTGATCTCCAGCTGTTTCAGTTCGGCGTTACAATTAGAGTTCGTGTGTGTAGAACATGGAGACCAAAAGTCTTCAAATCAGATGATCAATTTTCTGGTTTACAATGTATCTTGGTAGATACAATGGTGAGGAAATCACTCCCTTATACTATTTCAACTTAAATAGTAACATGACATACATGAATTCATATATTTTCTTGGACATTGATGTTTGGCTATTAACGCAGCTCTTATTAAACAATTCTTTTTGTTGATTATGCAATCTAACCCCTACCATTTGTCATAACAAATTTTTATAATTTTACAATCTAATCGTTAACAAATTTGTTTACTTTTGGCCAACAATTTACTTTTAAAATGTTATTGCTTTCAATTGAATGCACATCCATAGTTAAACAACTCAATTCATTTGCAATACCTTTCTTCCTCATTAATCGTCAATGCATTTGTTTTAACTTTTCCCTTTATCCATTTTTTTCCCCTAATAATTGAACATATTTTTCATCTCTGGGTAGCATTCCTTTTTCTACTTTGTTGGTTAAGCCAACCCCATTGTAGTGAGTAGAAGGAGATTTACAGTTTCATATTTCAACCCCATTGTAGTGGATTAGGGTTTCTAAATGCCAGTTAATCACTTTGAATCTCAATGTTGTTGTTACTGATTAGCTGTGATTTTCCCCAAAAATATGTAGCTTAAGTGTCGACGAAGTACTCATCAATATGCTAGCTCAATGTTGTTGTTCTTTGAATCTGTGTTTTGTTGTGATATTCGGATTTCTCATACATTAGACCATGCTTCCTCTTTTTGGTTCAATGTTGAAAGCATTTAGGTTTGATCTGTTTACTATCTCTAATTTTTGGATCCTAATGGAATTTCTTTGATTATATATGTTGTTTCTCCATAGCACCAATGAAAAAAGCATTTAGATTTGATGGGTTTGTTGTCAATGGTATGAATCTCTCTCTCTCTCTCTCTCATTTTGGTTTTGTTTTTGGTTCACCAAATGGTTTTCGTCTATTTTGATTTTCTGATTTTTTTAATTATTTTTCGGGGCTTAATCTCTCTCTCTCTCTCTCTCTCTCTCTCTTTTGGATATTGTTAGAAAATTAAAACAAATTAACAAATTTCCTTTTCTATCCATCTCTGCTTTCACTTACCTAAATTACATTTGTTTTTTTGGCATCGGCATATGGTTTCACTTTAATTTCTGGATATTCTTAGGTAACGCTCTGATTTTGTTCTACAACGCCATTTTTACAGAAAATATTCTCTCTTTCTCTTTGGGTGATTTTGTTATCCATTTCTTTTGCTTTTTCGTTCTGGCTAAGCTTTTACTACAAGCATTACCGAACCTCACTGTGCATTTCATATTAGTTTTTGGTTGTTTTGATTTCAATTTAAGTTTCATGCTACATGATGTGTAATGTTAGAATTCTTTTGTAGTTACACTGTTAGAATCCTGAAATTTAAGTATTTGCTTCAAGTTGGTTGGTTGGTTGTATTTTGAGGCTATGTAATTATGTGGTTGTTGTACTTCATTCTAATTACTATTTATTTCTTTTTTTTTCACTATGAATCACAGTTAGGCAATCATCCAATTGCTTCAGGTATGACTTATGAAAATTAAAAAGTTATTCAAATCTACATGTCTTATTGAAACTTTGGAATTTTATCTCAACAGATTCAATGGTCTCTCACCTCTCTGACAAGCAATCACTGAAGCAAAGAAGCGAAGATAACTTTCAGGTTAATGTTTCTTCATTTTGATTTATTGACATTTTTTTCCTTTTTGTGTTGCCTCAAAATTCCTTCACAAAATTCGACTTGGCTCTACTACTACGTGTTTTCTGCTCTCTTTCCTTCTGTTTTTTCCCCCTGATTTAATTTCAAGCTTCCATGAAATTTTGATTGTTTTAGGAGAGCTTGGGTACGAAATCCAAATACAAGAAGCGGTCATTCGCCCAAATTGTTTAACCATTCTTCGCTTTAAACGTATAATTCATGATTACCTCTCTTCCTTATACTCTTTACTTTTTTTTTGTACTGATTTCTTTATTTTTGTAATGTTTGTTTGCTCATCATTTCTGCATTTTCATGTTTGTATATTTCTTTTCTTCCACAACTTTATACACATTTTACATAATTCCATAACCCGCAGCACCGCACGGGTCCTTTTGCTAGTTATCTCTAAGGTTTTAGAAGTTCGCTTAAAGAAAATTATGCCTCACGTGATTTCTGAATTTCGGAGTGCTTTTGTTCCGGCAAGACTGATTACTGACAATATCATTGCTTTAATTGAGAGTGTACATGCCATTAAACAAAGGGGTAACAGCAAGTTAAAGAAGATGGTTCTTCAGTTGGACATGTCTAAAGCTTATGATCAAATTGAATGGCCTTTCTTAGAGGGTATGCTTCAAAGACTGGGCTTCAATTGTCGTTGGGTGAGCTTGATTATGGATTGTGTGAGAACTGTTTCGTATTTGGTTCAAGTTATGGGGCAACCTACTGGCAAGATTGTTCCTACAAGAGGTTTAAGGCAAGGGGATCCACTATCGCCGTACCTCTTCCTATTTTGTGCAGAAGGGTTATCAGCACTTTTAACGAAGGCTCAGCGAGATAAACATCTTCACGGGGTCTTGATGGCCCATGAAGCTCCTACTTTGTCCCACCTCTTTTTTGCTGATGATAGTTTATTGTTTTGCAATGACCAGTTATCTGATTGTTCCCAATTGCTAAATATTCTGAGAAGTTATGAGCGTGCATCAGGTCATAAAATAAATTTTGAGAAGTCGGCTGCTTGTTTGAGACCAAAAACTGATCCTATTATGAAGAGACTAATTTTTTCATTGATGAGAGTAAAGTTGGTGGAGTGCCATGAAAAGTATTTAGGTTTGCCTACTTTAGCAATGCGTAGCAAGATTAACATGTTTCAATTTGTGCAAGACTGTTTGTGGAAAAAGCTCCATGGCTGGAATTCAAAATTACTCTCTGCGGCAGGGAAAGAAGTGCTTATCAAAGCAGTTGCACAGGCACTTCCTACTTATACCATGGGGGTATTTCAGTTGCCAGCTACTCTGTGTAGTGAATTATCGTCAATGATTGCTCGGTATTGGTGGGGAAAAGCTGGTAAAAAAATTATACATTGGATGAATTGGAACAAGCTATGTCAGCCAAAATGCTTCAGTGGCCTTGGCTTTAAAAATTTTGAAGCCTTTAATGAAGCGATGGTGGCCAAGCAAGCATGGAGGCTTGTTGAAAACCCTTCTTCTTTGGTGGCAAGGATTCCACATGCAAGATATTATCCATATGGGATTTTATGAGTGCGGAGATTGGTACATACCCCTCTCTTATTTGGCGCTCCATTCTTTGGGGAAGACAAGTGATTGATGCAGGGTTGATTTGGCGAATTGGTAATGGGACTTCCGTGCAGGTTTTCCATGATCGTTGGATCCCAAGGCCCTTCACCTTTAAACCCCTTCTTAATTTGGGATTGCCGTCATAGGCAATAGTGGCTGACTTGTTAACATCTTCTGGTGCTTGGAACATGCCTATGCTAAGTCTGTGTTTTACTCAAGAGGACTGTGAGGCAATTATGAGTATTCCCTTGGGCTCGGTGGTGCATTTGCATGATCATAAATATTGGTTCTTTGCTAAGGATGGAAAATATTCTGTAAAATCTGGTTATTGGGTTGCCTTACGTCAATGCATGGGGGCTATTATGGAGGGAGGGAGCTCAGACACGAGCCCTCAGAAACTTTTTTGGAGGAAGGTGTGGGCTCTGAAGGTCCCTAACAAAATCAAGCTTTTAGTGTGGAGGGCCTGTTCGAATGTGCTACCCACTTCTCTCAATCTATATTTTAAGAGGGTACTTCAAACTCCTTTGTGCTCCCGTTATGGGAAATCAGAAGAAACTGCTCTTCATGCATTATGGAGCTGCATGAGGAGTCGGAAATTCTGGAATCTCACCCCCTTTTATTGTCGGCTAGAGGCCTACCATGGGTCTTTTGCAGATATTTTTGAGACAGCCACTCATGTCTTATCGGAGCAGGAATTAAAAAATTTTGCAGGTTGTGTCTGGCGCTCATGGCTCATTCGAAATGATACTCTGCATGAGAAGGAGTCAGGCATTTTGGGAGAGGCTATTGAGAGGACCTTCGAATTCATGCAAAGCTTCCAGCAGGGTAATGCGAGATGTAGGCCAACCTTGCTGCCTCATCATGTTTGCTGGATTAAACCACCACACCAGTCACTAGATCTTAATTGTGACGAAGCGATGGTGACTGAGAGCACTGTGCGTGGATTAGGGGGTTTGTTTCGCAATCAAGATAGTGAGTTTCTTTGCGATTTTGCTTGTGATGGACCGGCTGGATTTGATGTTCTGGGAACTGAACTTGCGGCAATGCGGGAAGGGTTGTTGATGGCTTCATAGAGAGGTTACCAAAATTTTCATATGGCTTCTGATTCTCAAGAGGATGTGACGCTTGTTACGGGTTCTGGCGAATGTTGGAGTAATCTAGGCAATCTAGTTGAGGATGTGAGGAATCTATTGGTGTATTTACAAGTACGAGAAGTGTTTTATCAGCCTCGCAAAGGGAATATAGCGGCGCACCTTTTGGCTCAATTTGGCTTACGGCAACAGCGATTGTTTTGGGCTGGGTTGGCTCCACATTGGTTATGGCCTACGCTTGTAACGAATAGAGAAGAAATTTAGTCTTTTGCGGGAGGTGTGTGGTACTCTTTTTTCTTGGCCGGATTTTCCTCCATTTGGGGTTTTTATGACAAGGTTTTAATTAGGCCACCCTAGGTGGCACCTCATTTCTCCAGTTTTTCTGTTTGTCCTTTTGTATGTCATGTTGACTGTTACTAAAATTAATGAAGATTTTTCCTTTGATAAAAATAAATAAATAAATAAATAAAAGGAATTTATTAGTCAATCTCGTGTAGTCTTCGCATTGGGAATTAGTGGTGAGTAGGAACCAATAATGCCAGGGACCACTCAAGCATCTAATAAACAATTTTGCATTATTGAACCTACATCTGGTAATACAACAAATATAATCGTATTAAACTTTTGAGCCGGCCGCCATATATTCTTATATATTCGTCACCATCGTTACAAGCTCAAGAAATACAAAGGTAACAGAAAAAATTATCCCAAAAACGAAAAGGAAAATCAGGGATGGAAGGCCAAGAGCACATTGTGATGCTGCCATTTATGGCTCAGGGCCATCTCATACCATTCCTTGCACTGGCAAGGAAAATCCAACAAAGAACAGGATTCACAATCACCATTGCCAGCACCACCCTCAACATCCAATACCTCAGTGCAACCATTGCCTCAACCTCAAACTCTCAATTAGACTCCAACATCCATTTGGCTGAGCTTTCATTCTGCAGTACGGACTATGGCTTGCCCCCAAACGCCGAGAACACGGAGGACTTGCCTCTAAGCAAAATAGCAGATCTTGTTGCTGCATCAACAGGTCTTGAGGCTCCTGCTCACCGCCTAATCTTGGATATCATCGCAAAAGAAGGCCGCCCGCCCCTTTGTATTGTCTCTGATATGTATTTTGGATGGGCAGCTAATCTTGCAAACAACTTAAGCACTAAAGAACTCATCGACTTTGGATTCAAGTGTTTCAAGGCAACGTGCAGGAAAAGAGTTGGGCATACCTGCTGAAACATGCCTTAAATGGCTCGATTCGCATGGTTCGGATTCTGTTATCTACATCTCATTTGGTTCCCAGAACACTATCAGCGCCACCCAAATGATGGAGCTGGCTATTGCTTTAGAAGAAAGTGGAAGGCCTTTTATTTGGGTCATAAGACCTCCTGTGGGATATGACATGAAGGGAGAGTTCGGGGTAGAGTGGTTGCCCCAAGGATTCGAAGATCGAATGAGCAAAAGAAAACAAGGGTTGTTGGTGCAAAACTGGGCACCGCAGTTGGAGATTTTGTCACACAAGTCCACAAGTGTGTTTGTTAGCCATTGTGGATGGAATTCAGTGATGGAGAGCTTAAGCCAGGGAGTGCCAATTATAGGGTGGCCATTGGGAGCAGAGCAGGCATTTAATTCAAAGATGTTGGTGGAGGAGATGGGTGTGAGTGTGGAGCTGACAAGGGGAGGGCAGAGTGATATTTCTCGGAAGGAGGTGAAGAGACTGATAGATTTGGTAATGGACAAAAGTGGCAAAGGAGGAGAAATGAGGGAAAAGGCTTGTGAAATTAAGGAACAGATAAGAGCAGCAATAAGAGAGGAGGCTGAAGACAAGGGATCTTTTGTTAAGGCAATGGATGATTTTGTTGCTACCATTCTATCAACCAGACAAGGATTATAAAATTCAAAAAGTGTATTATTTGTTAGGTCTTCTCAGGAGGAAATGGAAGGAAACTTGCAACTTTAAAGTCATTTGAGAAACCACAAGTGGCTCGCAAATTGCGCCACCTAACCTAAGTGTGTTTCTGGATACTATTGAATTGGTATGAAGAATTGCATTGATTTTTGGTCTCCTGGTGGATCGTATCAATTGATCGCATTTGAAGAACAAAACCTCATTAAAAGAACATACATGAGGGTCATATTCAATGATACCAAGACAGAGATCATGGCACCAATACTGGCAAAAGTAAGGAATACACAAAAGGCCTCAACTTAGGTGTGGGGTTTTATCGCAAAAAGGATCGATAAAATTTTAGTAGTGGAACCACTCAGCGTATATTGTATTTTATATTATCAAAGTTCCGATGTGAGACTTTTTTACATTCTTCAACAAATATGAGTGTAGGATACTTGGTCCAATCCTCTTAAAGTACTTTCAGGTACTATATATTCCTGTTCTTTGTGATATATGAGATTCCTTGGACCCTAAGTCAAAGATGAAGCTGTCTAGTTCCTCAGGATTATGACGAAGGGTGGGATTATATTTCATCCCTCGAAAGGCTGATTTTATAATAGGATGGAATAGAGAAATCAGGGGATTCTGTATATCTGCCAAAAGTGGTTCCATGCTTTACCCTGAATGAATCATGATTTGAATAACTATATGTTTTGGGCTTAATTGGAGGATCTTAAAATTTCCGTGGTCTATCAAGTTCAAATCTTCAACCTATAAGAGAGAACCATATATGAATAATGAATGTAGCATCTAAAGAATGGCATTACACCCTAGTCATTTCCATAATAGTCAAGTTAATGCTGCCAAATTGTCTCATCAGGTGGATTTTCTTGTTTTAAAATGGGGTCAAGCTTAACAATCTGGTAAGATAAAATGGTATCTGGGAAGGAAAATATTAGTACCTATTACCCATATATACACACACACACAAACACACATAAAGCTTCAAAAGCAGGATATGCTAGGCCGTTCCAACCACAGCTCAATTTTGTGTTTTTATTTCTTTTTATTTATTTATTTATTTTATGGTTATCCTCATTCCAAAAAGGTTTATTACTTTTAGTGGTTGTTTGATAGTCATTTCATTTTTAGTTTTCAGTTTTCATTTTTACTTTTTCAAAAACTGAAAACTGAACATATATTTGGTAACATATTTTGTTTTCAGTTTTCAAAATCATCCTTATTTTTTAAAACAACTTGAAAGTGTTTTAAGTATTCGTTTTTTTTTTTTTTTTTTTGGCTTCATTTTCATTCATTAATTTTACATCACCACACATAAAATGCATTCATGTTACCAAAACTCGGAATTTGGGACCTCCCAACTTAGACTCGACCACTCAATTCTTGTGTTCAGCCACAGACCTAGTCCAAGCCTCATGACCTCAAGATCCAACATTCACCAAAAATAATCCTAATTTGGAAAAATTCACCCAAAAATAGTATGAATTTTTTGCGACATGCACTTTCATTCTATAATCCCAAATTCACAACTAAAACTAGTTACCAAACAAGTATTCTATTTCTTCTATTTCAGAAAAATTAAAATGGGCCCTTTTTTTACGGTTTTGTATTTTGAATGACACATTCGATGAAAGTTTAAAACTTTTCTAACATTTGTTCAAATATGCTTTCTAAGTTCTTATGACCTAATGCTAAAGAAAGATTACATACTTTGTATCATCAGCAAAATTATTTAAATCACATCGAACAGTTCAAACTAAAATGGATATTGGAATCTAAATCATAATTTAAAGTTTTTTAAAAAAAAAAAAAAAAAAAAAAAAAAAAAAAAAAAAAAAAAAAAAAAAAAAAAAAAAAAAAAAAAAAAAAAAAAAAAAAAAAAAAAAAAAAAAAAAAAAAAAAAAAAAAAAAAAAAAAAAAAAAAAAAAAAAAAAAAAAAAAAAAAAAAAAAAAAAAAAAAAAAAAAAAAAAAAAAAAAAAAAAAAAAAAAAAAAAAAAAAAAAAAAAAAAAAAAAAAAAAAAAAAAAAAAAAAAAAAAAAAAAAAAAAAAAAAAAAAAAAAAAAAAAAAAAAAAAAAAAAAAAAAAAAAAAAAAAAAAAAAAAAAAAAAAAAAAAAAAAAAAAAAAAAAAAAAAAAAAAAAAAAAAAAAAAAAAAAAAAAAAAAAAAAAAAAAAAAAAAAAAAAAAACCCTGGCTCACTTAATTTATTCATTAATATCCTTATTTTGAAACTCAATCACAAATACCCCTTATAAAAACTCATTATTGACAGCCTATTGCCCTTCTTTCACTTTTTTTTTCTCAATCGTTGTTCTTTCTCTTCCTCTTCTTCCTTCTGACAAACCTCACAAAATCCATCTCAACCATAGAATCTCCCCTAACTCTATCTCCTCTTTGTTATGTCTTCCAACTAGGAGCTGATTTCAACCTCAAGGTTGAACCCCAAATTTGGAATAGGACCCTAGCTAAGGCACGACTCGCCACCTCCGTTGTTGGCCTCCATAAAGAAGCCACAGTCTTGACTTGCCACCTCCGTTGTCGACTTCCACCACAAAGCCACGGCACCGTCATCGTCGATCTTCACTGTGGTGAGTTCTGATATTTTTATTTTTATTTTTTGGATTTTTGGTTTTGGGTTGTTTTGATTGATTGAGATTATTGGGTGATTGCTTTCACTGTTTTGAATAAGATATTAATGGGTTTCTGTTGTGGCTTGCTGTTTCTGTTATTGAATGAAATTTACCAACTATTTCATGTGGTTGTTAAGCTCTTGGACTTGGATACATTTTATTGTGCTTATGATTTATCTTTGAAATGATGTATACACTGTTTTGTGATTGAGACTTGGACTTGCAGATCTCCTTGAAAGTAATGTATTCACTCTTTTGGGTGGTATGATATTCAATATGAAATAATCTTGGACAGTCAAGGTTTGTCAATTTGTAAGTAGTTAGTTAGTAATAGGATACCCTAGGTTAATGACTTTGAGTTGGATTTAACTTTAAGAGTTCTTGATACATGCCTTCCTTGCTGGAGCTTGAAACACAGCTATACTAGCTGAACCGTTTCATTTTGCATAATACTGATGTTTTAAAATTGTTGGTTATTGATGTTTTATCTATATGGTTTATCCACTAGTTGATAGATTTTTTATTGGTAGCTTTACATGTGTTAACAAAAGGAAATTTTATGATGGTCAGAAATGGACACAATTGCAATTTTGGTTTGCTACAATGGAAAATGGGTAACCTCAAAGAAGATGTGCACATATGAAGGGGGTGACACAAAAGGCATAATAGTTTCGCGAAACATCACATTTGGTGAGCTTTTGGAACGGGTACATAAGATTGTTAATACAGACAACAGGGAAGTCAAGCTTTGTTTAAAGTTCTTAGTTTCAATATCCTCGAATGAGTGTAAGCATATCAAGATTGAGGACAATGATGATGTTAAATTTTTTATTAAGTACAGTTGTGACGTAATTCCTTCGAAAGTGGCTCCTTTACTGGTGAGCATAGAAGACAAAGGAGTGACAAATGTCGTAGGTGATCGTATGCATATCACGACGGATATGAGTCGAATGGCCTGTTCTTCAAATGCCATAGTTGAAAGCAATGGTGATGTACATGGTGATTTTGGAACACAATATTTAGACATGATTGATTTTACAGGGGTGGAGGGGGTGCATAGTGGTGATAATGGTACGGAAATGAATGGCTTGCAAATGCACTCAGCCCCTCCTATTTTGGCCCATTTGGAGACATTTTCACAAGTGGGTGTGGTGGGTTCCGAAACAACGTCTGAACGTTCTATTCGACATAATTGGAGGCAAATGGGTGAACAAAACGTGCACAATTTGGGTATTGTAAATGAAGAAGAAGAAGATATTGAAAGTGCGTATTCACGGAATAATTGGGATCCAAAATTGGAAGTTGGGAAAATTTTCTCTAGTAAGGAAGCCCTATCCAACAAGTTACAGTTGGCGGCAGTAAGAGGTCACTTTGAATTTAAGGTGAAGCAGTCTTGTAAGAGTCGATTGGTTGTGGTTTGTTCTCAAGGTTCATGCCCATGGCGGCTTCGTGCATCTAGTTATGGAGAAAAGAACTTCATGATTGTGAAATATAATCCGGTCCATGAATGTGATATGAGTTTTATACATGACAAGCATCGTCACGCAAGTGCTAAACTCGTTGGTAATGCAGTGAAGCGGAAATTGAAAGATTCTCGCACAATATACACACCAAGTGATATAATCAGAGATGTGAAACAAAACTTTGGTGTCACCATTAATTATTGCAAAGCTTGGAGATCGAGGGAGTTAGCTCTAATGTCCACTAGAGGTTCAGTAGAGGAGGCATATTCTCTCCTTCCAGCTTATTGTCATGAATTAGAACGTGTGAATTCTGGCACAAGGACATACATCCACACCGATGAGAACAATCACTTTTTGTATTTTTTTATGGCTGTTGGGGCATGTATTAGAGGGTTTCAATCTTCAATGCGGCCAGTCATTGCTGTGGATGCCACGCATTTAAAATGTAAGTATAAAGGTGTCCTCTTTGTTGCCAATGCATTTGACGGAAATCGAAATATATATCCTCTTGCTTTTGGAATTGGGGATTTAGAGACGGATGCATCATGGCATTGGTTTTTCAGCAAGCTTCATGAAGCTATTGGTGAGTGTCCAAATCTTGTGATTATTTCTGATCGGAATATTAGCATAGAAAATGTGTGGCACAACATTTTTCCAACGGCGCAACATGGCATATGCTTTTACCATATGAAGGGGAACATGAAACGCACTTTCAAATTGAAAAAACGTGATAAATTATTGCTATACTTTGAACAAGCTGCGAAATCTTATGGTATCGCTGAATTTGATCGTCATTTTCACAAGATCAAGGGCAATGATGAGGTTGCTCAATATCTTGAAAGTGCAGGATTACACAAGTGGTCTAGAGCGCATATGGATGGACGTCGATACAATGTAATGACAACAAATATTGCGGAGTCAATCAACTCAGTCCTTCGGTTCGCAAGGATGCTACCTGTGCTGCATTTGATTGATGAAATCATCAATCTGCTTGTGAAATGGTTTAGTAAACGTCGTGATTTTGCTTTGAAATGTACATCAACATTGTGCCCTGACTTTGGAGAGAAAAAGTTGAGACGCAGGTTGGAATGTGCTTCAAGGATGAATGTTGTGAAACTGAATCACGTAGAGTATAATGTCGTGGACGGTGATATGGACGGCCACGTACATTTGACGAATAACACTTGCAGTTGTAGGAAGTTTCAGCTTGAGCAACTACCTTGCAAGCATGTAGTTGCAGTTTGCCGTTTCTTAAAACTAAATGTATACTCCATGGCTTCTCGTTATTACACTCGAAATACATGGTTGGATGCTTATTCAGATACCATCTACCCGGTACAGCCTCAAGAGTTGTGGGTTATTCCTGAAGATGTCCAAAGTAGAGTTGTGCGTCCTCCAAATGCAAAGGTCATGCCGGGTCGACGAAAAAAGTTAAGGATTCCCTCGCAAGGAGAGGATATCATAAGGAGAAAATGCTCAAGGTGCAGTGGCACAGGCCACAATAAAAGCACCTGTAAAAACAATGTTCCACTACCTAATGTTGGACATGTATTATGAATTGTGTTGGTTTGTTATGGAGTGTGAATTTGAATTATATTTGTATTAGGTTTGGTGTTCTGTGGATTGTGAATTATGTTAAATTTTCATAATTTTGTATGTATTTGTGTATTCTATGTGCTACATTGTTGTTAACATCTGTCATTTTTGGGCCTATATTGTGTATTCAAATTTTCTGATTCAGTTGGTCAAATTGGGGGTGGGTATGCCATTCTCATCCCCATCCCCACCTTCATACCTGCAATACAAACTTGAAAAAAAAAGATATACGCGGGCAATACATTAGCAATATACAAGCAATAAAGGGCTATACAATGGCAATACACATACTCCCCTATAAATTTATCCCAACACAGACTTAAAAAAAAAAAGATATACGGGGGCAATACAATAGCAATACACAAGCAATAAAATGCTATACAATGGCAATACATAAGCAATAAAAGGCTATACAATGGAAATACACAAACTCCATACCCCCCTATAAATTTATTCCAACACAGACTTGAAAAAAAAGATGTACAGGGGCAATACAGTAGAAATACACAAGCAATAAAAGGCTATACAATGGCAATACAAAAACTTCATAATCCCGTTATAAATTTATTCCTACAGACTTAAAAAAAAAAGATATACGAGGGCAATACACAAGCAATAAAGGGCTACACATGTGCAATACATATGCAATACATATCTGTCATGTCATTTGCCAATTAAATCACTGATTTGGTTACATTTGTATTTTTTTTTTCCTTCTTTGCAAAGGGAACAATAAAACCATGGAAACTAGAGATTGACAAATTTCCTTCTAACTTGACCTTCATAAATTGATGAACTAACAATGTTATCTCATTACATCTTAAGATAATACATAAAAAAAAAAAAAAAAAAAAAAAAAAAAAAATAAATAAATATTTATTTACTTAAGATATACATAAGAAAGTTGCAATACAAGGGTAGTGGAATAAAGGGGCAATACAAAGAATTCATAGTCTAACTACAATTTGTTTGCCAAGACATACATTAAGAAAAAAAAAGTGCTAAGACTGCAATAGAGCAACGATAGGAACACAATAAAAGGGCAATAAGAAGGCAATACGTAAACCTGGAAGTCCAACTTTAGTTCTATAATTGTCAAGACAGAGGTGAAAAAAGAGTTAAAACAGCAATAGAGGTACAATAGGAAAGCAACATAAGGGCAATAAGAAGGCAATACTTAAACTTAATAGTCTTTCAACTTTGTAATTGCAAAGACAAAGGTGAAAAACAATGTGCTAAAACAACAATAGAGGAGCAATAGGAACACAATAAAAGGGCAATAAGAAGGCAATACGTAAACCTGGAAGTCCAACTTTAGTTCTATAATTGTCAAGACAGAGGTGAAAAAAGAGTTAAAACAGCAATAGAGGTACAATAGGAAAGCAACATAAGGGCAATAAGAAGGCAATACTTAAACTTAATAGTCTTTCAACTTTGTAATTGCAAAGACAAAGGTGAAAAACAATGTGCTAAAACAACAATAGAGGAGCAATAGGAACACAATAAAAGGGCAATAAGAAGGCAATACGTAAACCTGGAAGTCCAACTTCAGCTCTATAATTGTCAAGACAGAGGTGAAAAAAGAGTTCAGACAACAATAGATGTACGATAGGAAAGCAATATAAGGGCAATAAGAAGGCAATACTTAAACTTGATTGTCTTTCAACTCTATAATTGCAAAGACAACAATAGAGGAGCAATATGAACACAATAAAAGGGCAATAAGAAGGCAATACGTAAACCTAAGTCCAATTTTAACTCTATAATTGCAAAGAGATGTGAAAAACAAAGTGCTAAGAAGGCAATACGTAAACCTCTTAGTCCAACTTTAGCTTTGTAATTGTCAAGACAGAGGTGAAAAAATAGTTAAGACAACAATAGAGGCATAGTAAGAAAGCGCAATACATAAACTTGAGTTTACATTGCGAGGCTACTTATTAGCTAAACATATACATATGCAGTTTCTCTATCCACTCTAGTTTCATGGTTACTAATTCATGAAACCACAACTAATAAATAATGAATAGCTGATCACATCAAAGCACAACTAATATCCAATTCCACTCCTATTACAACAATATTTATGTGGTGAAACAAAACTGGTGGCGCATCTTCATTTCTCAAGCCATCTTCTAACCGTGAAGAAACCAGTAGCTTTTGTCCAATCTCGAACCTCCAAGTGATGAGCTGTGTTATGAAGGTGATATTCTCTCGCATGTGTAGTTCCCCACTCCCCATTTCTGCAACATTCCCAATTGCTTTTTATTCACCAAAGTATGACAACAAAACTAAAGATTCAGAAAAGTGCGAGTGTAAACATTAAGTTAAAGTATGTGACTCTCTCACATTTGTAATTGGAATCATTTAGTTTCTAACATTTGTTATTGTATTACCAAAGCTTCCTACATAAATTACAATTCTTCTCACAAGACATTCATGCCCTATTACATACGAAATTCCTAGACTAATTAGTAAGGAGCTTCCTAACCTAGAACACCAACAAGAGAAAATCGCAAAAAGTGGAACGCATAAAGCACAAAGAAATTGTCAAACAAAATAAAAGGCACAGAACCAGACATCAGAACACCTCAAAGGGTGAACAATAATGGGGTAATGTGGAATTGTTTGACTCAAGAAGCTCCACATGTAATTTATAAGCTTCCTAAAGAAGGCAATGGTGAACAGAACAACCAAAATTTTCTGAAGCAGTATATATCAGGGGAGGTCTACTTAATGCTCTTGCAATACTTCAAATTTTGGTCAAGGATCTCATGAAGATACCTATTTTCAGCTTTCCCATGTTCTGATAAATAATAAAATCAATCGCAACAAGACCTATTTGCATCCATATCAGGTTTTGATAAGGCAAATGCAACAATTTCTAATTCAAAATTCATACACTTCATATAAGGAATTTCAGCAGAAAACATATCCGGAAGCATATTAAGAATCACTATATCAATACTCAACAGAAACCCACATGATACGAACTAAAACCCAATTAATTACTTGCAATTGGTGATCAATCTCTGTAGTTGGGTGGGTCATATGGTGGCTTACTAATTATGTAACTCGTTGGAAATAAAAATAAAAATTATCACAGAGTTAGGAACAAATCTAAAGACAACAAATGCAAAAGTTTTGAGTTGAATATGAGTTGTAATATTAGGAACCCTAACGACTTAATTGTGCAAATTTAAATTACTTATTTTGACAAAATAATGACATAAAAGTACATAAAAAGAAAAACAAGAAAACTAGGGATTGAGAAGAGAGAAGATTGTCATTACCATTCTCTAGAAATTTTGAAAACGATCTTCTTGCGTTATGCCTTTCTTCCAGATGTGCTATAATGCTATGAATTGATTCGCCGTTCTAGATGTGCGATGGGGACGACAGAGGACTGCGAGAGAGGAAGGAAGAGTTGGGAGGAATTGGGTTTCAGAGAAGGATACATGGTCAATATAGTATCTATTTATATGAAGGGCAGTTCAGTACTTTCACATGAGGAAGTGAATATTTGTGGTTAATATTTGCAAAGTGAGTATTCTTGATTAAGATTTCTGGTTTGTGAGTATGTACGTGCATTTCCCAAAAAACTTCACGGGGATGGGGTGGGAATGGCATACTCACCCCCGATTCGACCCATAGCCATCCCTATACAAAAGGCAAGAAGAATGAGCTATATATACACATAATAATGTGCTCAATTCAATGTATAATATAAATAAAAGTATTTTTCCATTGCATACACTTGCGAATATATAATGAAAACAACATATTCAAGACTGAAATTTCTGAGGTAAATTGAACTCAATTTCATTCCATGAGGACTAGATAATTACATGGTCTATCTGATACACAAATAGTCCCTCAATTGCATGTTTGTTTTCCTTATAACTACAACACACTTCTTGCAACTAAATGGAATGTCGTCCCACCCCAAATTGATGAAGGTTCTCAATGACAACAATATTCTAGAAGCCAAAAATCTAGGTCCAACTGTCATAAAAAAAAAAAGTCAATTATCTCAAGACTTAAGAGTTAGGGTTTCGAATCACTAGAGACCAAGCTTGTGGGATATGGGCCGTGACATGATCTTGTACTCTACCAATTGTTCCTTTACCTTCTCAAATTCATCCATCATCTTCATTTACAACGGAAACAAAATAAAGCAACATCAATATGTACATATATAAATATGTATATACAGAGTAATACAAAAGATAAATTGGTATTAATGAGGTACATCTTTGATCTGCCCTATTGGAACCATCACTTTCCTTTTATTGCTATATATGCATATGCGCAAAAGCACAAACAAGCCCAATTTAAAATCTCCTACCTACGTATCAAGAAAAGAAACAAACTTAAACTCAAAGTTTCTTATTACTAAAAAATAAAAAATAAAAGTTTTTTTTTTTTTTTTTTTGGTCATTTGCAACTTATAACTCACATGGTATACAAAATTTCAAGCAGTGACATCAGACCCTTTCTATGTTTCTTTTGTTTGCTCACACACTTTTTTGCCATATCATAGCCCTTAGAATTCCTGCAAAATAATAACATGAACTTTACTTCTCAATTTCACAATGACACAAAACAGTGTAGTATTAACTTGTTCATAGCACAAGTTAAATGGCGACGTAGAAACGAAAGAAACTCAAGACATGACACAAAAGTTGAAAAATAAGAAAATAAATATAATAGAATTCCAAATATCAAATGACACAATAAACTGACATAATATGGCACTTGTGTAAGTCCTCATGTAAAAACAGGGACATTTCTCAAGCATTGTTAAAGGGTAATCAAACTAATGTCAACGGTGATCTAAGAAAACCATAATGCACTGTAAAGACATCTTCGTAGACAAATTATAATAAAACTCACATGTTCTTCCTTCCATTTAGATGGGTTCATTGGGTCCTCCTAAAAGTTCACCTTTAAGTATATACCAAGAGAATTGTCTCAATTGGTTTGTATCTCAAAGAAAACCATAGTGCGCTTATTAAGGTGATTCATCGAACACCTGCATGCCTTTTTTTCATGCACTCATCAACTCAACCTAACCAAACAAATAGAACCATATATTCAGAACAAGCAAATAAGCATGATAAATAAAACGATGTACCAAGAATTTGGATTTTGTGCAACTTTATATAACATTGTATGAAATTGAAATAAGCAGAAGAAAACCCAAATAACAGGTTGCTCAGAAAAGCCAGAAGTCCTAATTTGATATATCACCTAAATGCTTTCACAGACAAATCACAATCACAAAAGAGTGAATACACCACTTTCAAGGAGGTCTGCAAGTCTAAGTCTCAATCACAAACCAGTATATGCATGATTTTAGAGACAAATCTTAAGTACAAACAATGTATCCAAGTCCAAGAACTTGACAACCACAGGAAATAATTGGTAAATTTCATTCAATCACAGAAACAACAAACAAACCACAACAGAAACCCATTAATGTCTCATTCAAAATAATGAAAGTAATCACCCAATCAATCAACAAACAAAACCCTAACCCTAAAAAAAAAAAAAAAAAAAAAAAAAAAAAAAACCAATATATTAGAACTCACCACAGTGAAGATCGAAGATGAAGGTGTAGTGGCTTTGTGGTGGAAGTCGACGAAGAAGGTGGAGAGTCACGATTATGGCTTCGTTATGGAGGCCGACGACGGAGGTGGCGAGTCACTCCTTGGCTATGGTTCGATTCCGAATTTGGGGTTCAACCTTAAGGTTCAAATTAGCTCCTAGTTTGAAGATATAACTAAGAGAAAATTGAATTAAGCGAGATTCTACTATGGAAGTGGATTCCTGTCAGGTTTGGCAGAAGGAAGAAGAGGAAGAGACTAGATAGAAGAGGAAGAAGAAGAGCAACGACTGAGAAGAAAAAAAAAAGTGACAGATGGGCAATAGACTGTCAAAATGGAGTTTTTATAGGGGGTATTTGTGATTAGATTTCAAAATGGGGATATTAGTGAATAAATTAGGTGAGCCAGGGGTAAAGCCGCCAATTTCCCAATCGCAAACATATTGCCATAAAAACGGGGAAAAAAACCCACCCCCCCCCCCCCCCCCCCCCCCCCCCCCCCCCTCTTTTTTTTTTAAAAAAAAAAAAAAAAAAAAAAAAAAAAAAAAAAAAAAAAAAAAAAAAAAATTTTTTTTTTTTTTTTTTTTTAAAAAAAAAAAAAAAAAAAAAATTTTTTTTTTTTTTTAAAAAAAAAAAAAAAAAAAAAAAAAAAAAAAAAAAAAAAAAAAAAAAAAAAAAAAAAAAAAAAAAAAAAAAAAAAAAAAAAAAAAAAAAAAAAAAAAAAAAAAAAAAAAAAAAAAAAAAAAAAAAAAAAAAAAAAAAAAAAAAAAAAAAAAAAAAAAAAAAAAAAAAAAAAAAAAAAAAAAAAAAAAAAAAAAAAACACCTAAATCGCAAACATATTGCCATACCACCATCCAAACCGTTTCACATACCGAAACTTGCACCCACATAACCCCCTTAGTTTTAGAAAATAATGTCAAAACACCATGAAATAGATTTCTTTGGTAAACGTACATAAGTATATCATTCAAAACTTGAAATACCTCAATTCAATAGACTCATATCATAACATACTATAATTAAAACCATATATTAAATGCAATCTAAATTTCTTGGAGAACATTGTAAAACAATAAACTGAAAACCTTCAAAGTAAAACCCCTTTATTCAAGCCATTTCAAAATCATAAACTTTTTCAAAAATCATTTCTCAACCTTAATCCTTTTCATACATAATTAAGCAGAATCCCTTTTTTCCCACAACCATACCTTACTGAAGGCGTATGTTGCAAAGCACCATAAGTCAATTGTCAAATTCGAACTTCATGTCAAATATTCATATATGTGCAAAGTACCCTTAATGCACATGCTCAAGAAACATCAACCTATAAATAAATCCACACATACTCCCACATGAATACCCATATATACACACACCCAAAATCAACACATCATCATCATGTCGGCCTCTCCCTCGCCCGCCTTGGCTTCTCCATTGTCGACCTCTGAAACCTCGGCCTCATAAGAACCATGTCAACTACGCCGTCGTCGATGTCCTCAATGGAAATTGTAGGCTCGACCAGGCTCTCGTTGTAGACAAGCGCTGGTCCAACTTCGAGCTGCTGTACATCTTCAAGCCCATATCCAAATAGGGCAAAGCCTTGGTTAGGGATAGCTGCTCTGTAGGGTTTTTTTTTTCCCTAAAAAATTTAATTAAAATATATTATATTTTATCTAAAGCCACGTGGCTCTATACCATTGAATGTGTGAGCTCCACACATGTGCCACGTCAGCAATTTATCAGAAAAGTTGATAGAAACTAACGGTAGGGACCATTTTGATGTGTGAATGGTAACCTTAGAGCATCTAAAATCATGCTCCCTATTTTTTATTTAAAATTTAGCTAAAAAGACACAAAAGTTATTTTAGGAGCTCTCTATAAAATTTGAGCTTCAATCATATTCCTTAGTTTTAGGCAGTCATAAATACTATAATTATTTTTTAATTCAATATGATTGGTCCATCTCTATAATTATTTTTCAAGGCTACTCACGAAGCCAACCTGGCTGATTTTGCAATGCAGAAGGCAGAACTGGACCTAATGGTGTCGGGATACAAGGAGGCCAAGGCCACTGCAGACAAGCTAGAGAAGCAGATTGAAGAGCTTCTAAAGCAACTGGCAGAGTGCAGGGAGGTGTAGAACAAGCTTGGGGCTAGACTGAGCTCCAAGACTATGACCACCTTCCTTCTGCAGAGCATGGTTGCAGCTTCTAGGCCAGCCCTGGAGATTGCAGAGGCTTCAATTCATCAGGGGGTGCTGCTTCAAAAAGAACTTTCCATTAAGAAAACCAACTTGCAAGAAACCCTCAAGAAATTAGGGTTTTGATTTTGTTATTTATTTATCCTTTTAGTTTTTTGCTTCATGATGAACAATTTGCCATGGGGAAGGCCCCATGGTTATCTATTTTAAATAAAGTTTATTTTTCTTGCTGCAATTTTCGGGTTTTTAATTTTCTTTTGATGAAATAAACAGAAGTAAAAAGTACAAAAGGAACAAACTTTAAACCACTTTAGAACAAAGATAAACTCTAAACAGAAATTATTTTTTTTTTTTTTTTTTTTTTTTTTGTTGTCCCTTCTCTATCCCAGGATCTGTTTGTACAGCATGTGAATCCCACATGGTTGGATAAAACTTCTTTAACCATTTGTCATTGATTGGGGCAGCATGAATTTCTCCATCTTTATCCTGCAACCTGTATGCCCCCATTCCAAGGATCTGATTGATTATGAAAGGTCCTTCCTATGTAGGTGACCATTTTCCATAACCAGCCACATGTGTTCCAAGGGGCAGAACTGCTTTCCAGACTATCTCTCCCTCTTCAAAACTCTTGTTCTTGACTCTTTTGTTATAGGCCCTTGACACAGCTTGCTTTCCTGCCAGGAATTTATTGAGGGTGTCAATTCTGCTTGCATCCAATCCTTCCAATTCTAGCAGCATGGCTTGAGAGTAGTTTTCTCCTACCAGATTATGTTGGTGAGCAATTCTTAGGGACTGAACAGCTATTTCCATAGGCAGAATTGCATCATGACCATAGGTTAATGCATAGGGGGTCATGCCAGTTGCTTCTCTTTTAGAAGTTCTATATGCCCACAGAGTTTCTGACAACTTCTCATGCCATTGCTTTGGATTCTTCTCAAGCATTTTTCTGAGAATGTTGATGATCACCTTGTTGCTTGATTCTGCCTGTCCATTAGCTTGAGCATAATAAGGAGTGGATTGAAGCAGTTTGAATTTGAATGCTTCTGCCATATCTAGCATATCTCTAGATATGAAAGAAGACCCTCTGTCAGTTGTGATTGATTATGGGATGCCAAATCTCTGTATAATCTGCTCTTCTATGAAGGTAATGATTTCTTGAGATGTAGTGGATTTAATAGGCTTGGCTTCCACCCACTTGGTGAAATAGTCTGTAGCAACAATGATAAAATAGTGCTGCGGACTGCTGGCTGGATAGATTTTGCCAATAAGATCCGTTGCCCATCCTTTAAAAGGCCATGGCTTTACCACTGGATTCATGGGAACTGAAGGAGCCTGCTGGATTGGGCCGTGTCTTTGACAAGAATCACACCCTTTGGAATAGTCAATGCAATCTTTCATCATGGTTGGCCAGAAATAGCCATATCTTCTAATTAACGAGCACATTTTCCTTCCACCTTGATGAGCTCCACAAATTCCTTCATGGGTTTCTCCCATGACTTTCATGTATTCTTTCTTCCCAAGGCATCTCAATAGTACCTCATCCTTGCTTTTCCGGACCAAGTCTCCATTCCATATAAAGTAGTTCAGAGCCATGATTCTGACTCTTTTTTCAAAAGGTAAGGTTGGATATTGCAAGTAGGTTATGATAGGATTTCTCCAATCATCTTCAATGATTATGGCAGAATTGACATCTATCTCCATCCCCCTGGTCAGAACTGGTGGCAGGCTTTTCTTTCCCACCTTGATGATCCTCTGTACATAGTCTTCAGGCATTTGTATACCTGTTGCTATTTGGGCCAGTTCATTGGCTACACAGTTTTCCTCCCTTGGGATGTGTTCCCAAGTAGCTTCTCTAAATTCTGTCAGAAGATTCCTAGCTGCCACTAGATACACAGCTAGAGAAGGACTAAGGCACTTGTATTCCCCAGCAATCTATTTTAATACAAGCATTGAATCTCCCAGGATTTCCACAGATTGGATTCCTAGTTCCACCAGCATTTCTAATCCTATGATTAGAGCTTCTTATTCTGCCCTGTTGTTGGTGCACTGGAAATCTAACTGGAAAGAATAACAGTGTCTGATTCCAAGTGATTCTTCCAAAACAATCCCTGCCCCAAAAGCTATATCAATTTTTGATCCATCAAAATACAGCTTCCAAGGTGTGAGATGAACTGAATAGATAGGATTGTTAAAGCAAGTGTGAGCTCTAGTTTACAGATCTGCATTTGCTATGTCCAAAGAGTCCATGTTCTCAATCTCCTCTCCAGGATGATCTGCTAAGAAATATGCCACAGCCTGTCCTTTGACAGCCTTCTAAGGAACATATCTGAAGGCAAATTCAGTTAAGGCCAAGGTCCATTTTCCAATTCTGCCTCTCAACATTGGCCTGGTTAGCATATATTTAATTAGATCTGTCTTGGCAATGATGTAGATGGTATATGGCAACATGTAGTGTTTGAGCTTTACAGCAGTGAAGTACAAGGCTAGGCAAAGTCTTTCTATTGCAGAATATTTTCTTTCTACTTCTGTCAGAGTTCTGGTCAGATAGTAGATTGCATGGTCCTTTCCTTCTTTGTTATCTTGAACTAACAGACTTCCAATGGATACTTTTGATGCAGACACATAGAGCTTGAGTGGTCTGCCTCTCTTTGGTGGGGACAAAACTGGTGAATTTGAGAGGTAATGCTTGATTTCCTCGAAAGCTAGTTGGTGTTGCTCTTCCCACTTGAAGGCATGTTCCTGCTTTAATCTTAACAAAGAGGAGAAAGGCTGTATCTTTCCTGCAGAATTAGATATGAATCTCCTTAGAAAATTAATCTTTCCTAGGAGACTCTGCAGTTCTTTCTTGTTCTGAGGTGGCAGTGCTTCTATGATGGATTTTGCTTTATTCTTATCAATCTCTATGCCTCTTTGGTGGACCAAGAATCCTAGGAAATTTCCTGCTTAAACTCCAAAAACACACTTCTTTGGGTTCATCTTTAGTTTATGTTGCCTCATTCTTAGGAATGCCCTCCTTAGATTTGGTATGTGGTTTCCCTCTTCTGGGGATTTAATCACCACATCATCGATATACACTTCCAAAGAATGTCCTATCATATCATGGAAGACAGAATTCATTGCCCTTTGATAAGTAGCCCCTGCATTTCTTAAGCTAAAAGGCATTACAGTGTACTCAAAAGCACCTATATGTCCTGGACACATGAAGGCTGTCTTGTGGATGTCTCCTTCTGCCACCATGATCTAATTGTAACCTGCATTGCCATCCATAAAAGATAGCATCTGGTTGTGAGTAGCACCATTTACTAGCATGTCTGCCATTGGCATAGGATACTCATCCTTGGGAGAAGCTTAATTTAGATTTCTGTAATCCACATAGATTCTGACTGCCCCAGTTTTCTTTTTAGAACTGGTACAATATTAGCTAGCTAATCAGCATAGATGGCTGGTTTGATGAATCCTGCTTTGAGCAACCTTTCTATTTCTTCTTTGACCTTCAGTTCTGTGTCGATGGACATTCTTCTTCTAGCCTGTTTGACTGGAAGGTATCCCTCTTTGATTGGCAGCTCGTGCTCCATTAATTCCCTATCTAGACCTGGCATTTCATGATAATGCCAAGCAAAACAATCTCTGAACTCCTTCAACAGTGCAATGAGCTCACTCTTGAGCGGTTCTTTCAATAGTGCGCTAATAAAAGTAGGCCTTGGATCCTCTTCTATCCTGAAGTTTATTTCCTGTAAAGGATCCTCCACTTCTAGCAGAAAGTCATCCAGTGCTGCTGGCGCAAAATCTAACACTTCCTCCTGTAACTCTTCTTCCTCCTGGTCTTCCGTGCTCTCATGAGTGAATTTTGCCATATTGATGGCTGGATCCAGCATGAAGAGCTTCCTTTCCTCCCAATATATCAACAATCTTTTTGTAATGGATCGGATTGTTGCAACTCGATCTTTTTCTTGTTGATAGGAACTAAACATCAAAGTTCTGGAGGTTTAGAACAAAAGGTCTATTCCAGTCTTCTAAGGAACTAGCTAGACCATCTTCAATGAGCCTTTGGGCCGTGACAACATGGGGACGACCGTTCTGGTTGACTCCAAGGAAAGTGAAAGGACCAAGGTCATCATGGTAATACCTTGCCTCAAAACACATGGCAGAAGGCAAAAATGGCCTTGGATCGGCCTCTACTATCTCCATGTAACCTTCTTCGTTCCACAGAGCTAATTGCTGGTGAAGAGTGGAGGGAACACACAAACTCTGGTGAATCCAGTCCCTGCGTAGTGCATTATAGGTGGTGGAAGTGGTGTCTATCACAAAGAATGCAATCTTCAGCTCTTTGCTTCCAACTATGACATCCACATCTAGGATCCTATGAGTTTGGGTGATGCCCCCTGCAAAGTTGGTGACGGTTAAGCGTGTTGGGATCAAGTCCTTCTCTGTTCTGCCCATTTTGCTCAGCATTCTATGAGGCAGAAGATTAATGGCTGCACCCCCATCTACCATGACTTTGGGAATAGGAACACCTCCAAAATTTGCTGTTATAAACAAAGGTCTAAGATGATTGGCCATTTCCTTGGTTGGTTTGGAAAAACAAAGCTGTTATGTAGTTAGTTTGTTGGTAGTTCCGCCTGTCCTGGGACTGCCTGCTCGTTGTTCTGGTACCTCCTCTGCTTCTGCTAACCTGCATTCGAAACTTTCCTGGGAGAAAACATCTCCCTCCAGAATTCCCCATCATATTTCATCTGCAGATGGCTCATAATCTAGCTGCTCCTCTTCATTTTCCTCAATCCAGTCTTCTTGCCCTTCTATTAGAATAGGTTCAGATTCTCCTTGTATCTGTGAAGGTTTAAATTGATTGTCTGAGGATGAAGCAAGATGGATAGGAGGCTTAACTGGAGATCCAGCTTTCAACATTTTCTGTGGCTGGATTACTTGTTCTGCCTGGGAAGGTATTTCCGGATCTTTCCCTTTTCTGTCAGAAGTGGTCTTCGGAGGTACCTGTGCATCACTTTTGTTCTTGAGGAATATGCAGTATTGCCTTTGAACTCTCCTCTTCTGGGTTCTGGTTAATTCCATAGTTGGTCTGCCACTTTTCCCGACAGCATACCACCTTCCTTCTATGATAGCAGCCAGAGGTTTCTCATTCTCAGGCATCTTGATTGATATTTCCTTCGTGGGCTGCTCTGTCATCCTCCTGCTGTGCTGGGCTGGTCTGGGATACTCCTTCACATTCGAGGATGAGGTTCTAATCCTGTCAAAAACACTTGGAATGGGCTGACTCTGCCTGTCCAGAACCACTTCTAGCTCAACTTAACATTTGCACTTGCTGCAGAGCACTACTCCAGCTGAGATAGTTGCTTTTGGCCTTTCAATAGTTTCCCTTGAAACCATTCTGCATCTGCTGGAACTGGCTTCTGTCGTTGGCCTGCTTCTCTTCTGTTCTAGCTAATTTAAGTTGACCATGTTGACTTGTGGTTGGGGAAAAGGATCTGTTGTGACTGAAGGAGATTTCTCCGCTAGTTTCAACCTTCCTGCTGTTATTCCTTCTTATATAACATCTCTGAAAACTACACCACTATTGGTAGAATGGTTCCAAGAGTTGTGCCACCTGCAATACTGCCTGCCCTTGAGCTCTTCTGGCTTGGGCATCCTGTGGGGTGTCTCTATTGCCTTTTGCAGCAACATTTCATCAAATAAAGCATCCACCTTTGTTAGATCAAAGGAATAAACCCTCTTGCGAAAGGTGGCGGCTTCTGATCCTTTGGTGGCTTAGTAAGGGCTTTGCAACTAATGGGATGTTTCAATTTTGCCATTTTTGCTACTGCAACTTCTCCCTCCTTTGAGCATTTTGCTTCTTCTTCTGATTCTACCTGAACCAGATGTACTGAAGAGGAAGGTGACTTGTAATACGAGCCTTTGGATGAGTTCCTCTTCTGCTGTTCTTCCCTAAGCAGTTCCTCATACTTGGATGCTTTATCTGCCAGTTCTGCCAGGTCTCCAAACAGCATCCCATCAAATCTTTTTCTTAGAGAGATCTTGAGGGCAGCTTGAGCCATCTGGATGAAGTGTCTTTCTTCCATAGGGATTCGGCACTTCATTTTGAGCTTCTTGAACCTGGTTATGAAGTCTTGAGCAGGTTCATCTTCACTCTGTTTGAGGGCTGCAAGGTCACTGATGGTGACTTCTGTCTGAATCCTGTAATAATAGTCGTGGAAAACACTCTCCATCTGCTCCCAAGTTTGTCGTGGAAAACACTCTCCATCTGCTCCCAAGTTTGAACTAAATTTGCTGGCAGATTGGTGTACCAAGTAAAAGCTTGTCCAGAGAGAGAATTCCCGAAAAGCCTTAGCTTCAACAGAGGATTGTTCTCTATGGCTATGCACTAGACAGAGAACCTGCCTATGTGCTCAACTGATGAAGCATGGGGATCCTCTCCGTTGAATAAGGTGAAGTTTGGCACCTTAAAACTCGGGGATAGAGGTATTTGATCGATATAAGCCGGATATGGCTTCCTATAGGTGGGCCTTTCTCCTCTTCTGGCTTCAGGCTCCATAATCTCTCTGATCATCCTTTGTAATGCCCCCACGTCATCCAGAGCATTGACAGGGTGGTGATTTCGCCCCTGTTCTGGCTGGGTGTGATCAATCCTGGGCTCCGCACTGTATGGCCTGGGCAGAACTTCCTCCCTGTGTTCTTCCTATTCTTCCAGATCTGGATTTTTCCTCCAGTTTGCCCCCAGCCGGTTCCTGTCATTGTTGGCAAAAAGGTTATTACCCCTTCTGCCTCTTCTGCCTCTTGCAAGTGGAGGGAATGGATTGGGATCCATCCTTCTGCGTCTATAAGGCAACACTGCTGGTGGCTCAGGCAGAAGTGCCAAAGGTTGATCCTGTGGAATAGGGTGAGGTTCTGGCTGGTTATGTTGCATCTGAACTAGTGCAGGGCCTTTTGGCCGAGCTGGGGCCTCACGTTCTTGGACGGGAAGGGATCCTTCCCTCTGTCCTGCCTGAATCTCTCCGTGCCCTGGTATTCCAGCAATCTGTGCAATGAGAGGGTTTTCCTGGTATGGCCATGCTAATCCTGGTGGAGGGCCATAGGGAAGGTCTAGCTGTTGGACAACAGCATCCGGATTTGGAATTCTGGCTATGGCAGCCTCACGGTCCTTTCTGAACTGCCTGTTGTCCTGCCATTGCATCATGGCTGTCATATTAGTGAGAGTGTCCTGGATCCTTTGTGTTGTGACTTCTTGTCGCAACACAGATTCCCGAATCAGGTTCATCCTTCTAGAGCCAGTCCTGGACCGTCTGCTCCTTGTGCTACCGTGTGCTGAGTGCCTGGCATCACTTTCCTCTAACTCCAGTCCTTCCCTGAGAGCCACCTGGTTTATCTCCATGGCGTGGTGTGGGTTCTGGCTAGAGCTTCCAATATTCATAAACTTGAGAGGAATTCTGTGAGAATATGTATACTGAGAAGTCCCAATGGGTGTGCCAAATTGTTCACCCGTTTTGTGATCACTCCTGTGGTGGAAGAGCAAAGTTCCCCACTGCCTTGAAAACTATTGACTGGTCAGCAAGTCAGCTTTCTTGGGTGTATGAGCGTTCCACTGCTGCTAGAAATGAAGATTCTAGCAAACTTATTCTAGAACAGATAACTTGCGCCCCAAGTTACTGATCTCCATAAACAAGCGATTGTGAATTTGGGTGAGGAATATCTCCCAAGTAAGTTTTTTTCTTGTCTCAAATTGGTGAGGACTTTAACAATTTATCTCAGTATAAAGAGGTTGTTCTGGCCAGAATGGTTGATGGAATTTAAGCTGTCTTAGGCAGAACTGCCTTTTACAAAACTATAAACATAAATATCCAAGCTAGAAAGATGAAAGGACAGCTGAAACTCCATTTCTGCCTGGACTGGAAATATCTGGGCTGGGCTGGACTGTTAACAACTTTAGCTGCTACACTTTAGCTGTAGATCGATACCAAAGGTTAATTTTGGCAGAGCTTTAATACACTTCAAGCTTTTGTGAGGCTTCTGAGTGGGCAGAACTGCGGCTTCTTCAATCTGTAAGGGCAGAAGTGGCTGTTCTCAAGGACTTCAGTGGGCTAGAGACTGCACTGTAAAATTTGTTGAGGTTTTCATGTTTGGTAAAAGCTCAAGCTCTACCTGTCTTGGTTTTTTGCTGAACCAAATTTATAACGGGAGAAATCTCTTTTTGGATGACTTATTTTCTAAGTCTGAACCTTGGGAATTATGATCTAAAGCTGGTTTTCACTTGGAATTCAAGTGAGCTTCTAGTTGATTTTGAGTTGTTTATTTGATTGATGACTTGAGTGTTGGATTGATTGTGTTTTTTGCCCTGTTCACTCCTTCTTGTATTTATAAGAGATGTTATCTGGAGTTGGGTAATTCTTTTAAATAATGGGCGGCAATTTTCTTTAAAAAGATCTCTCATTTTTAATTGTAAAGAAAGGGGGTTTTGATCAATTTCTGGTAGATAAGCTCTCAATAGTCAGTTCTTAAGATCACTTCCCTATATTTTTCAAACTGTGATGGTTAGTTTGATCTTCCATTTGAACAACTCTTTGTCCTCCTGCTTATCTCCTTTTGAGAACATGGTCTGCTTATCTCTTGGGAGAATCACCCTCTTTGGAGAAAAAATATTATTTCCAAATATGTAAAAAGGGATCTGATCTTCTGATGGCAGAGATTCAGAGAAGTCTTCTCCTAGCCGTCTGCTTTTGTTAATCCCAGTTGAAAATATTGACTTTTCTAAGTCAGAAACATCACGTGGGTCTGTTCCTATTTTGTTTTTCTTTCTTTTAATAATGGCAAACCCAAATTCGAGTTGAACAATGAACTGATTCCTTTCTTTTCTCTATTTCTCCGAGGCCCAGGTTTTGCATTCTTAGATACCTCTGAGCTGGGCTTCTTTTAGATGTGGGCCCTTGATTATAATTTGGGTTCTGAACTGCCTCGTTTTGTTTTTGTCTCATCCTTCTGGGCCTCCAATGCTAGGCTGAGTGTGTATTTTAGCCCAATTTCAGGGAATACAGGTGGCTGTCCAAAAATTGTCATGGGCTTTTGTTTTCCTCGGGCTCTGTGTCAAATTAGGCCCAAAAATAAACGAAATTAAAGTTAAAGGACCACGGGAACCATTTTCGAAATTGAGGTACGCAAATACAAATCGGGTCAAAGTTCAAGGACTAATAAAACGATTAACCCGCTAGGAAATATAACATACAATTCACATGGCTCTAGTATATAATATTAGGACAATTGGAATACCAATTTAGTACTATATTGTTAATATTTAGCTAAGTTGAGACTCTATATTTTATTTGAATTATTCAGACCGTCTATATTTTAGATGTTTCCTCAAAGTTTATCTCTGCAAAAAAAAACTCACTTGATTTCGTAGTTATTAATTCAAACACTAGATTAAATATTTGTCATTTTAATGTTATTTTTATTGTTCACAAGTTCACAACTACATGTCTTAATGTTTTTAATTTGTTATGATCTTTAAAGTAAAATTCGTAGCAAACCACACAAATGTACAATACATCAAGTTATTTTGAGAATCCGTCAAGACTTCTACCTAACATGTTATCTTAATGTATCATCAAGGATGGTAGGCGGAGCTAGAGTCTAAATATTAGAGGGGCCAACAATTGAAAAGATATGAAATTACATAACGATTTCCAAGTTTTATATAAAAACTTCAATGAAATTCATGAGAATTGGAGAGGCCACAGCTACCTCAAGCCTATGCACAGTTCCGCCCTAATGGTACCAATTACCAAACAACTTTTCCCAAAGTGGTAGGTGTTGAGTGCTTGAAGGGATGAATCGACAAAGTACTTGGACCAAACAGAACCAATGCCATGACAATGGCCTAAGGAAGCACCATTCATTTGTCACAAAGTCAGCACGGTCAAGATGTAGAGCCTTTTTGGCTAAGATATAAAAAAAAATTCCAATCTCAATTTAACTTTTGAACTGTGCATTATGTGACCAGAAACGGAAGTCTTTATTTTTATTTTTTTATTGTTGAGAAATTCTTGGATTACATTCATAATTCAGTCAAAAAAATTACTTACGACAAAAGACCAATACAAACTAGCCACAAAGGACCATTACAATAAGGAGCGATCTAACATCAAAATTAAGACAAACCAAACTAGCCAGAAAAGGAAGATAAAAAAGATTTGTTTTACTCATTGACCAAAACAGAATGAAAGATTTGTTCTACTGGATAGTTGATCTCTTTCATTGTCTTCTCTTACTACGTAACTTCCAAACCTTTATCCTCAATTAATCCCTTTTGTAGCGTAATTAAGGGTATTTCATTAAATTAAGGGGGCTGCTGAATAACTAATTGATTTGACTCGACATTAACCCACTGAATGAAAATTCGACCGAACCTTGACATCTTTTTGTGGTCGACATTGGTTCGTTCACATGATATTTTATTTCTTAGCAATTTGTTAACAAAGAGAGAGCAATGCATTTATTGTATTATTAATTTAATACTACTAATCAGGACGCTCTGAGAGGTTCAAACAACAGCATTAAGCAAAGGGGCGGAGCCACACTGGGACCATTGTGGTCCCGGGCCCCCACTCAAGTATTTTTACGTTTTAAAAGTGATATACTATTATGTAATTCTATATGTATATTATTCAAATACTTTACATTTTGATATGTATCCATATGTGTTGTGGCGGATCTATTAAGGCACAAGGAGGTGCTTCCAATTGCCAATTTGCTCAGCTAGTGGTAGTGCACTCCAGGTGTACATATTACCTTATTTCCATTTTCAATATTTAAGTAAATGTCTTTGTCCTTTTACTTTCATTTATTTTTATATTACTCCATTTACTTAAGTTTACAATATAAATAAGGAAGTACCCCATATTTGGATTTAAATAAAAATACTAGAAAATCAAATTCCCTCCAAATCAAAATATGAAAAATCTGTTTTAGTGCAAAATACGATTTAGGTTAAAAATGATGGCTCATTAAGTCAATATTTACTTCATACTAAAATCCCATAAAATCAAGTTTTCTTATTTGATGTGTAAGGAATAAAAGCAGCCAAAAATTATCTTGAGAAAATGGTTATTATGAAAAACAATTTTTCATACTTAGTCAATATTTTTACATAAAACATTTTTTCATGTATGATAGGAATGCATGAATGGACCTAAGGTTTTTTTTAGTTTGTGAAATTTTGAATTTTTTTCTTTTATTGGGTTTTATGGGGGAAAAAGCTTTAAAGATATTTGCTAAATCGCTACTATTTGTCTATCTCTTGCTTAGAATGTATTTGTCTATCTCTTTGTCGAGGACAATTATGGTTGCAGCCAATAAGCAATATAATTCTTGACATATGTGATATATATACTATTTTTCGTATGTATTTTGATTCGAATTTTTGATTATTTATAATTTATAAGAGGCCCCCACACACATGAAATCCTGGCTTCGCCACTGATTAAGCATGAGGGATTATTGAGGGCTTAATGAAATGATTAAGCATGAGAGGTAGTCTTAAACAAATCCAAAGAGGATCAAGTGTTGAGGCCCCGTCCCAGAATTTCAAAGAGGATCAAGGTAGAGTCAATACAGATTAACAGTCTCGCAACACAAATAACATGCTAAGTGCATGTTACATATAAGTATTTGTCTGACAATATAAATTTCCGAACGGCCGACCTCTTTCTTGTATACTTCTATGTACCTGAAAGATGGAGGGTTGGAGGGCCATTCATGCATGTAGTACTCCTTCGAGAGGGTGGCAATGGAGTCCGAGAGTCTCCAGTAATCTCTCCACTTTATGGCAGATGAAAAAACTCCTTGTCGATAAATATGTGAACATTCTTCACTTCGTCTGCGAGATACATGTAACTATAGTACAATAATTTGTTACCGCACCTTGTAATTCATGTCATTACGTTTCTTTTGTTACTTTACAAGGGAAAGATAAAAGTAAAATAATCTGCAGACAAAATGTTCTGAGTCTTAAATAATTTCTTGCTTATAGACAAGAAACATTTGCAAATATTTTAATAGGCTTGAATTGAGTGTTTTTGTTATTGATGTGATGTGAGCACAGGCTCGGAACACTTTCATTTTGGTGTGTTTTCATATCACTTGGCTACTTAAAAAATTCCATAACCCAGAGGTTACAGACAAAACATTCATATCTGATGCCACTAAATCCAGCACCAGTTGCCAGGGCCATGAATTCTTGTTCACTCCTCTCCTTCGCTCCCGGAATTTGAGTCATCATAATCACATCAAGTTGGGAAGTGGCTTTCCCAGCAGTGCTAGTATCTGGCATAGCTGGAAGTAGTTCTTCCACAACAATCACTTTTCCATTGTCTGGAATAGCTTTGTAACAATTCTTCAACAGCTTTAGACAGTGCTCATCGCTCCAATTATGAAGTATCCACTACAAACAAATGTATCAGAAGACAAGTAGAACAGCTTCATATATATAGTTACCATTGTAAAACTAAAGAAGAAAACCAAAAAATTAATTAATGCTTGAGAAATTCAAAAATTACCTTCATAAAAATGGCATCCCCACTTGGAACACTAGCAAACATGTCTCCTCCAACATGTTCCACACCTGCAAAAAAAATTTAACTCCCATTTTATGCTGCACACTGCTTCCGATGAAACAAAACCTAAGATTTCACATTGCATCAAATAAATTAAAGTCCTACCAGGATAGGAGGGGGCATGATTTACGACATGGGGCAAGTCGTAATTGATACCCCTTATATGGGGATATCTAGATGTGACCAAATTAAGGGTCACTCCAAAGCCACCACCAACATCAACAAGTTGTGTGAGGTTCTTGTCTTGAAAACCCTTGTAGATGTGAAGAAGTTTCTTGATGACAAGGGTGGTGTGGTTGAACATTGCTGTGTTGAACACTTGATTAAACTTGGGGTCCAAACCTAGAAACTCAAAAGTTTGCATGCCATGGACCCTGTTAAATGGAATTCCTCCTTCAACAACTGCACCTTTCAGTTGAGACCTGTAGATTTATTATGTGTTGAAAGTTGGAGTTAGATACCCTATTAGTATTATAATTAGCACAAACTATGTGGGTTGTTTCTTTGACTTGGGGAACTTAATAAAATTTGAATTATATAGGGCCTTTCTTCTATTATTGGGTGGACCATTTATAATTTTAATAGTTACTTCCCTAGCCAAGATCCCTGACTGACTTTAATTATGCCATTTTAAGGAATGAGATTGTCTGTAAATTTGGGTATAATATATAACAGTGAATATGTCTCCTTACACCCAAGTTCGATCATTCTCCCATAGTTTTATAGTTTCTTCATTATACAAATATTTTTATATAATCATGTGTGTAATGCATGTGCCAGTACATTAATCAAACTTAAATAGAGAAATGGTCAAGATCAGGGACACACAAAAAGCTACACTTCTTGACACACATTTTCAGCCTTTAGATGTTTCTTCATCCAATGCTTGAAAACACATATGATAGCTCATTTATTGTTTTATTGGTGTCATTAACCCATTGCACATAGTGCGAGACTATCTCTACATTAAGAGAGAATTTTTTTCCTAGAGAGAGAAACTCTCATATAACGGGGATAACACTTTTTGCTATCTCTACCCAATAACATAATGACACATGAGATAACTTATCAACAACGTCATTGTATTATTGGTCGGGAATAGCAAAACAATGTTATCCCCGTTACAATAAAGTATTTTTCCCACATTAGCTGTATATTCTCTTCCCACTCATTTATGCCAACCATTCTCTCCCTAACTATTCAGGACAACCCTTTCCTCTGTCACCATTTTTTCTTTCTTTAGAGCACACGTTCCACTCTGTAAAAGCAAGAAGAAGATGAAGATAATGTAATTTTGTGATTCCTTCTGCCAATGAAACCTTTGTATTATGAAGTCCAAGCCTCACCTCACCTCACACAACTATTGCCTTCAACTTGTTTAAAATAACAGAATATAAAGAGATCAAAGAGAAAGAGGACCCATTGAAATGACGTAAACATATGCAATGTAGCAACTTATGGCTTGTTCGGTACGTCAGATTATACTGACTAAATATCTTCACAAATATATGAATTGTTTTTTAAATGTCATATTTTTTGAACTGTAAAGGCTGAAAAGGTATGTCAAAAAGTGTGACTTTTTGTGTATTCCTCCATCCCGACTCTATAAAAAATTAGTAATAAATGAATAAAGGAGGAAAGGAAAGAGGATAACTTATTCAAGGATTAAACTTATTCAAGTCACCAAATCCAAGGATTAAACCCAACTCCTCAATAGGAATTTGGATCTATATCAACTTTTCTATAACTTATTTAGTAGGAAGCCTAAGAGGACTAAACTAACCAGCTTTCCGTGAAGACCTTGTCTTGATTCAATGTCATCAAGGGGCCCAGAGAACCACCTTCTTCATCATTCACAAAGTACTTGGATACGGGGCCAAGGCTATAGACTCTCTGAAAATTAGACGCACCATTTTCATCCTCATTAGCAGCAACAAGAGAGCAATGGAGAACAGAGTGGCTGGTGAGGAGCCTGAGAATCCTATCCATCATCATGGGTGCCTCAGAATTCTTGGTGCCAATCTTAGCTGCGATCTCAGACGAAGAGAGCTTGGCGCTTGGACCCTCTCTGGCTAAGATGTCAAAAACGCCAAGCTCAATCGCTGATTGCAGAGATATGGACAACGCAAAAGAACCCACCAACTGCAGGGCATAGCATAAACTTTCTTCTTCCTCTTCCGTTGTAATTTCATCCTCAGTCTCAACATGATTGATTTTGGGATGGCTTTTCCTTTCCAATGAAGAAGCCATTGGACTGTCTATATTTACGTTCTGAAACTCATTGCTAGTGGAATGGGTTTACTTATAGCTAGGAAATGGGTTAATTGTTTTATTAGTCCCTGAATTTAGACCCGATTACCTCAATTTCCAAAATGGTTCTCGTGGTCCTTTAACTTTAGTTTCGTTAAGACAAATGGTTCTGTCGTTAATTTTGTTAACTTTTCTGTTAAGTGCAGGGACAAAATGTTATTTTTTTTTAATCAAAATTGATTAGAATATGAAAAAAAAAATTTAAAACAAAAAATTTAAAATTAAACTCTCTCTGCCCCACTATTCCAATTTATATGGTCCCCCAAACTTTTTTATTTTATTGTTATTTTAAAGATATGATTTATTTTTCATTTTTTGTGTTTAATATAAAAATATCATTTTGTGCCTGCATTTAATAGAAAAAGTTAACAAAATTGACGGCATGACCATTTGTCCAAACGAAACTAAAGTTAAAGGACCACGGGAACCATTTTCGAAATTGAGGTATTCAAATGCAAATCGGGTCAAAGTTCAAGGACTAATAAAACGATTAACCCGCTAGGAAATATAACATACAATTCACATGGCTCTAGTATATAATATTAGGACAATTGGAATACCAATTTAGTACTATATTGTCAATATTTAGCTGAGTTGAGACTCTATATTTTATTTGAATTATTCGGACCGTCTATATTTGAGATGTTTCCTCAAAGTTTATCTCTGCAAAAAAACTCACTTGATTTCGTAGTTATTAATTCAAACACTTGATTAAATAGTTGTCATTTTAATGTTATTTTTATTGTTCACAAGTTCACAACTACATGTCTTAATGTTTTTAATTTGTTCTGATCTTTAAAGTAAAATTCATAAAACCACACAAATGTACATTACATCAAGTTATTTTGAGAATCTGTCAAGACTTCTACCTAATATGTTATCTTAATGTATCATCAAGGATGGTAGGCGGAGCTAGAGTCTAAATATTAGAGGGGCCAATAATTGAAAAGATATGAAATTACATACCGATTTCCAAGTTTTATATAAAAACTTCAATGGAATTCATGAGAATTGGAGAGGCCACAGCTACCTCAAGCCTATAAACAGTTCCGCCCTGATGGTACCAATTACCAAACAACTTTTCCCAAAGTGGTAGGTGTTGAGTGCTTGAAGGGATGAATCGACAAAGTACTTGGACCAAACAGAACCAATGCCATGACAATGGCCTAAGGAAGCACCATTCATTTGTCACAAAGTACTTGGACACAGCACGGTCAAGATGTAGAGCCTTTTTGGCTAAGATATATAAAAAAATGCCAATCTCAATTTAACTTTTGAACTGTGCCTTATGTGACCAGAAACGGAAGTCTTTATTTTTATTTTTTTATTGTTGAGAAATTCTTGGATTACATTCATAATTCAGTCAAAAAAAAATTACTTACGACAAAAGACCAATACAAACTAGCCACAAAGGACCGTTACAATAAGGAGCGATCTAACATCAAAATTAAGACAAACCAAACTAGCCAGAAAAGGAAGATAAAAAAGATTTGTTTTACTCATTGACCAAAACAGAATGAAAGATTTGTTCTACTGGATAGTTGATCTCTTTCATTGTCTTCTCTTACTACGTAACTTCCAAACCTTTATCCTCAATTAATCCCTTTTGTAGCGTAATTAAGGGTATTTCATTAAATTAAAGGGGCTGCTGAATAACTAATTGATTTGACTCGACATTAACCCACTGAATGAAACTTCGACCAAACCTTGACATCTTTTTGTGGTAGACATTGTTTCATTCACATGATATTTTATTTCTTAGCAATTTGATAAGAAATACCTGGCTAAATGAACACCATGTTGATGCCTAGATCACCTTGTAACAGACTTTCTAGTTCTGCACCAAAAGCCTCAGTTTCTTCATCCAGTTCTCCATCATATTCCATCTGTTCTTCCCTATATTCTTCGGTCCAGTCTTCCTGTTCTTCTGCTTTGAGGAGTCCATTCTGGTCATCTGCAGATGGTTCATAGTCCAATTGCTCCTCTTCATATTCTTCATTCTAGTCTTCTTGTCCTTCTACTGGAATAGGTTTGGATTCACCTTGTGCTTGTGAAGGTTTAAGCTGATTGACTGAGGATGAGGTAGGATGGATAAAAGGCTTGCCTGAAGACTCTGCTTTTACCAGCTTCTGTGGTTGCGATGTTTGTTCTGCCCGAGGAAATACTTCCGGATTTTTCCCTTTTCTGGCAGAACTGGTCTCTGGAAATACCTGTGCATCACTCTTGTTCTTGAGGAATGTGCAGTACTGCCTTTGGACCCTCCTCTTCTGAGTTCTGGTCAACTCCAGAGTTGGTCTACCACTTTTTCTGACAGAATACCATCTGCCTTCTATGGTAGCTGGCAAAGGTTTTTCATTCCCGGGCATCTTGATTGGTATTTCCTTCTTGGGGTGCTCTGTCATCCTCCTGCTGCGCTGGGTAGGCCTAAGATAGTCCTTCTGTCTAGCTTTATCTCGGGATGAGGTTCCAATCCTGTCAAAACACTCGGTGTGGGCTGATTCTGCCTGTTTAGGACTACTTCTAACTCGGCTTCACACTTACACTTGCTGCAGAGCACTACCCCAGCTGAGATAGTTGCCTTTGGCCTTTCATTAGTTTCCCTAGTGACTACTTTGCCTCTGCTGGAGCTAGCTTCTGTCGTTGGTCTGCTTCTCTTCTGTTCTGGTCAATTTAAGTTGACCATGTTGACTTGTGGCTGGGGAAAAGGATCTGTTGTGACTGATGGAGGTTTCTTCCCCAGTTTTAGCCTTCCTGTTGTTATTCCCTCCTATATGACATCCCTGAAAACAACACTACTATTGGTGGAGTGATTCCAAGAATTGTGCCACTTGCAATAGTGTCTGCCCTTGAGTTCCTCTGGTTTGGGCAACCTGTGGGGTGTCTCTATTGCTTTATGCAGCAATATCTCATCAAACAATGCATCCACCTTGGTCAGATTGAAGGAATAGACCTTGTTCTGGGTTGGCTTGTTTGGGACAAACCCTCCTGTCAATGGTGGTGGCTTCTGATCCTTTGGTGGCTTTGTAAGAGCCTTGCAACTGATGGGATGTTTCAGTTTTGCTATCTCTGCTACTGCAATTTCTCTTTCCTCCGAGCCCTCTGCTTCTTCTTATGATTCTATCTCAACCATATGTATTGAAGAAGAAGGGGACTTGTAATACGTGCCTTTGGAGGAGTTCCTCTTCTGTTGTTCTTCCCTAAGAAGCTCCTCGTATTTGGATGCTTTATCTGTCAGTTCTGCCAGATCTCCGAACAACATCCCATCAAATCTTTTTCTCAGAGATATTTTGAGGGCAACTTGAGCCATCTGGATGAAGTATCTTTCTTCCATAGGGATCCGGCATTTCATTTTGTGCTTCTTGAACCTGGTTATGAAGTCTTGAGCAAGTTCATCATCACCCTACTTGAGGGCAGCAAGGTCACTGATGGTGACTTCTGGCTGAATCCTGTAATAATAGTCATGGAAAACACTTTCTATCTGCTACTAAGTTTGAACAAAATTGGCTGGCAGACTAGTGTACCAGGTGAAAGCTTGTCCGGAGAGAGAATTTCCAAAAAGCCTTAGCTTTAACAGAGGGTTATTTTCTATGGCTATACACTGGACAAAGAACCTGCTTATATGCTCTACTGATGAAGCATGGGGATCCTCTCCATTGAACAAGGTGAAGTTTGGCACCTTAAAGCTTGGTGATAGAGGTATCTGATCGATATAAGACGGGTATGGCTTTCTATAGGTGGGCCTCTCTCCTCTTCTGGCTTCAGGCTCCATCATCTCTCTGATCATTCTTTGTAATGCCCCCATGTCATTCAAAGCATTGACAAGGTGCAGATTTTGTCCCTGTTCTGGCTGGACGTGATCAATCCTGGGCTCTGCCCTATATGGCTTGAGCAGAGCTTCCTCCCTGTGTTCTTCCTGTTCTTCTAGATCTAGATGATTCCTCCAATTTGCCCCCAGCATGTTCCTATAATTGTTAGCAAAAGGGTTGTTCCCCCTTATGCCTCTTCTGCCTCTTGCAGGTGGAGGGAATGGATTGGGATCCATCCTTCTGGGTCTGTAGGGCAACATTGCTGGTGGCTCAGGCAAAAGTGCCAAAGGTTGATCATGTGGGGCCAGAGGCTGTGGAATAGGCTGAGGTTCTAGCTGATTCTGCTGAATCTGAACAGGTGCAGGGCCATCTGGCCGGACTGAGACCTCACGTTCTTAGACGGGAAGGGCTCATCCCCTCTGTCCAGCTTGGATATCTCCATGCATTGGTATTCCAGCTATTTGTGCAATGAGAGGGTTCTCCTGGTATGACCATGCTAATCCTGGTTGAGGGCCATAAGGAAGGTCTAGCTGCTGGACTACAGCATCCGGATTTGGAATTCTGGCCATAGCAGCCTCACAGTCCTTCCTGAATTACCTGTTAACCGGCCATTGCATCATAGCTGTCATGTTATTAAGAGTATCCTGGCTCCTTTATGTTGTAATATCTGGTCGGAACATAGATTCCTGTATTTGATTCATCCTCCTAGAGCCGGTCCTAGAACGTCTGCTTCCGGTACTGCCGTGGGCTGATTGCCTAGCGTCACTTTCTTCTGACTCCAGACCTTCCCTGAGAGATACCTGGTTTATGTCCATGGCGTGGTGTAGGTTCTGGTTAGAGCTTCTAATATTCATAAACTTCAGAAGAATTCTGTCAGAGTATGTATACTGAGAAGTCCCATTGGGCGTGCCAAATTGTTCACACGTTTTGTTTTTACTCCTGTGATGGAAGGGTAAAATTCCCCATTGACTAGAAAAATAAAAAGAAGGCTGGAATTCCATTTATGCCTGGATAGAAGCTTTTGATCCGGGCTGGACTGAAAATGTCTGTGCTGGACTGGACTGTTAACAACTTCAACTGCTCAGCTTCAGCTGTAAATTGATGCCAAAGTTCAATTTTGGCAGAGCTTTAATCTACTTCAAGCTTTGGGAGGCTTTTGAACGGGCAGAACTGCTGCTTCTTCAGTCTGAAGGGGCAGAAGTGGCTGGTCTTGAGGATTCAATGAGCTGGAATTGCACTGTAAAATTTGTTGAGGTTTTCATATTTGTGAAAACTCAAGCTTTGCTTGTTCTTGGCTTTTGCTGAACCAAATTTGTAACGAGAGGAATCTCGTTTTGAATGACTTATTTTTCTAAGTCTGAACTTTGAGAATTCTGATCTAAAGCTGGTCTCTCTTGTGGTTCAAGTGAGCTTTTGGTTGATTTTTTGTTTGTTTGTTTGATTGATGAATTGAGTGTCTTTTCTTCTATTCACCCTCTCTTATATTTATAAGAAGTGTTTTCTGGAGTAAGGCAATTCTTTTAATAATGGGCGACAAAATTTCTCAAAAGATCTCTCAATTTTAAATACAAAGAAAAAGAGATTTTATCAATTCTGGTAGATAAGCTTTCACCAGTCATTTCCTATGGTAGTCACTTCCCTGTATTTTGAAAGAAACCCTATCCCTCTTTTTAATTCCCAACTGCCCTTTGTGATAGGTCAAACTGTGATGGTTAGTTTGATCCCTGCTTTCCTACTTATCTCTTTTTGAGAACAAAAACCTGCTTATCTCTTGGAAGGGTCACCTTCCTCTGACGTGAAATTGTATAAAAGAGGATTCTAATCTTTGAGCCCTAGAGTTTCAGAGAAGTCTCTTTGCTTAATTACCTACTTCTATTTAATTTCCAATCACTTCTCCTGTGATAGTTGGAATTGTTGACTTTTCCAAGTTAGGAGATCACGTGGGTTTGCCTCCAATTTTGGAGTTTTTCTTCTTTTTATTCATACCGGGCCTGCCTTGATTTTTCTGGAGCCCATGGCTGGTTGCTTTTCTTTTGAGGACCAATTTTGGTTTGCCATATTTCGATAAATCTTGGGCTGGGCCTTTCTGGACTTCGGGCCTTTGATTCCTATTTTGTACAATCCAGATTTTGGACCCTGTGGCTTGTTGTCCTGGGTTCTTTAGCGTTGGGCTGGGTGCGTCGGATTTTGGCCCAAACAGTAGTACATCATGTTCCTACTATGTCCGAGCTCGTTCCATTCAACCATTTGCCTATCGAAGGAGAAAATGATACTTTGCACCCGATAAGTGGTTCAGGTGCTAGTCTAAGAGGTATGCTTCCAATTTTTATCACGCTTAGTATTTAGAAATCTTTAAGTCTACTTGCTTAACCATTACTCGTCGGCCAATGTAGGTTTGTTTGCACATCCACATTTATTAAAGTTGGCTAATCATGCATGAACTTCTGAAATGTCATGTGGGGAACCCAAATTAGGTGTTGCGGACAAAACCCTTCGCAAAGTAATCTCCGTTTTAGGAAACCAAATAAAAAGTATAATCTTGAAGGCTTCATTCAAAAGCTATCTCCTGAGGCTCAGAGCGATCGTTTAGTTGCAGTTGACTCTTCACTTTCTATTGCCTTAGCTTTGCAACAAGCTGAAGAGACTCATCAGTTTTCTGTACTTGAGTCTGTTCAATCTGCCAACATGCGTATGGAGGAGTTGAAGAGAGAACAAGAACAATTGGAGTTGTGACTACATCAACTAAACGAATCAGTTTCAGAGAGTGATGTACAGCTTTCTTACCATCGTCGTGAGGTTACCTGCTTGAGAGAGGATAAGATTGCGGTTGAAGGAGCTCTTGTACTATCTGTTGCAGATGCCGAGACTTTAGATACATTACAAGTTTCTTTTGAGAGACTGTGTAACGGCTTTAAGGACTTGTCTTGGGAATAGCAAATTATTTTGTTGTGAACTTTCTTTGCTTTATTTATATTTCTCTTTGAACTTGTCAACGTGTTGACGTTTGTTAGCTAACTTTCATAATGAAATAAAAGCATTTTCTTATTTCATTATTTCTTTCGAATGGCTCGAATTGATGGGGGAAACCCTTTGCTTTTATTTTAATGTGACTGAACTTGGAATTATTTGTTCAAGCTGCCTACGTACCCTCAGTAAAAAGGGATCAAGTCATCACGTAGTTCAAGGAATTTTTTTTGTGTGTCCTAACTTTTCCTTGAACCGCCCTTTTGGGTTTTCAGTTCAACGGACTTTCTTGTGCTCTAACTTTTGCTTGGACCGCCTTTTCGGGTTTTCAATCCAACGAGCTTTTTTTTTTTTGTTGTGCCGTACGCAGTTTACACTCATGCGGGCCAGGGGCTTGGTGTCATTTCATGCGTAGTATCGTTTCAAGAACTTTTCGTTGATAGGGCCGACTCTTAAATTGTCCTTGGCTACGATCTTGTAAGCGCCACTTGTGTACACTTCTTGTACTACGTAGGCCCCATCCCATTTCGAAGTAAACTTGCTTCCGGTTTTGTGTGTTGTGATGATAGGTCTACGTAATGCGACGACAAGATCTCCTACTTGAAAAGACTTGGGGCGAACCTTCTTGTTAAAAGCATTCGAAAGCCGAGCTTGATAACACTCTAAGTGTTGTTGCGCTTTGAGTCTCTTCTCGTCTAGTGCTTCTAACTCTTGGAGACGTAGCTTTGCATTCTCTTCATCAGTCAATCCCTCTTGTATGACCATCCTCAATGATGGAATTTGAGTTTCTAGAGGCAAGACTACTTCCACGCCATACACGAGTGAGTATGGTGTAGCCTGAATAGGCGTCCGGTATGTCGTCCTATAAGCCCACAATGCTTCATTTATCCTTTCATGCCAATCTTTCTTGGTTCTTCCAACAACTTTCTTCAACAGGTTGCAAAGAGTTTTGTTGAACGCTTCTGCAAGACCATTGGCTGGGGCATTGTACATTGAAGAGTTGCGTTGTTTGAAGCCGAAGTTTTCACACAATTTATCAGTTAACCAGTTCGAAAATGGCTTTCCATTGTCTGTGATGATATAACGCGGCACACCATACCGATGAATGATGTTTACTTTGATAAAGCTCACTACATTTTCTTTCCTTACTTTTTTTAGGAGTACAGCCTCTGCCCATTTTGAAAAGTAGTCTGTGGTTGTCATCAGAAGATTTGGGTGCTATTGATCCCACCACATCAAGACCCCACGCATCAAAAGGCCATGAAGTAATTGTAGGGTGTAGCGGCTCAGGCGACTGATGTATAAAGTTGGCATGAAATTGACATGCTTGACATTTCTTCACATAATCCATGCAATCCTTGACCATAGTCGGCCAATAGTAGCTCATCCTCTTTGTTTGGAAATGTAGCTTTGGCCCTGATTGATGAGCTCAGCAAATACCTGAGTGAGCCTCCTCCATTGCTTTGGATGCATCTTCTTCGCCCAAGCATCTTAGAAACAGGCCTTCGAATGAACGACGGTATAGAATCTCTTTATAATAAATAAACCGAGGTGCCCGGTGCCATACCTTTGATCGATGTCTCGAATCATCTGGCAGTTTCCCATGCTCAAGATAATCAATTAAAGGCTGCCTCCAGTCGTCAACGTCAATGGACAATACCGAGATAACGTTGACTCCTTCTTGCGATGCCCCAAGTGTTAATGGAATGAGCCAAAGTTGGCAAACTGGAAGATTCACCACTTCATCTTTTGTCAACGCCAATGTAGCAGCAAGGTTGGCTAAGGCATCTGCCATTTGGTTGTCTTTTCTTGGCACATGCTCCAGCGTCACGAAGTCAAACCTTTCTATTAATTGCATGGCCATTTGGTGGTACGGAATTAGATCATCCTTCCTAACTTCGTAGTGGGTCAACAGTTGGTTGACCACTAACATGGAGTCATCATATACTTCTAAGCTTGATATGTTCATCTCCATAGGCATTTGTAAGCCCATAATCAAAGCTTGGTATTCTACAACGTTGTTCGAGCAAAGTTCACTTAAAGTGAATGAATAAGGCAATATGTGTCTCTCGGGTGATACGAAGATTACGCCAGCCCCCGCCCCATCTTTACGAGCCGATCCATCAAAGCACATCATCCAAACAGGAGAAACGTCAGTGCAGAAGACTTGTTCGTCGGGTAAGTCATCTAAAATTTCCCAGTCTGCTAAAATTGGATGATCGGCTAGGAAATCTGCAACAGCTTGCCCCTTAACCGCCTTTGCTGGAGTGTAGATGATCTCATATTGATTGAGAAGTAACACCCACTTGGCCAAATGCCCCGTCAAGACTGGTTTTGACATAACGTACCTTACCGGGTCAGCTCGTGCAATTAGATAAACCGTGAACGCTTGCATATAGTGCCTTAATTTTTGAATAGCAAAATCAAGTGCAAGACACGTCTTTTCTATAGGCGTGTAGTTTAGTTCGGGACTAGTAAGCGTTCAGCTTAGATAGTAGACTGCTTGCTCTTTATGTGACTCATTCTCTTGCGCTAAAAGGGCTCCAATTGATCTTTCTTGAGCCGCAATGTACGGGGGGAAAAAATTTTTAACAAAAAAAAAAAAAAAAAAAAAAAAAAAAAAAAAAAAAAAAAAAAAAAAAAAAAAAAAAAAAAAAAAAAAAAAAAAAAAAAAAAAAAAAAAAAAAAAAAAAAAAAAAAAAAAAAAAAAAAAAAAAAAAAAAAAAAAAAAAAAAAAAAAAAAAAAAAAAAAAAAAAAAAAAAAAAAAAAAAAAAAAAAAAAAAAAAAAAAAAAAAAAAAAAAAAAAAAAAAAAAAAAAAAAAAAAAAAAAAAAAAAAAAAAAAAAAAAAAAAAAAAAAAAAAAAAAAAAAAAAAAAAAAAAAAAAAAAAAAAAAAAAAAAAAAAAAAAAAAAAAAAAAAAAAAAAAAAAAAAAAAAAAAAAAAAAAAAAAAAAAAAAAAAATAAAAAATAAAAAATATAAAGTTAGCATTAATTACAAGTTTAAACTATGCATAAAACAAAGCACCATTAAATTATAAGGAGTCACTATGAGTCTTTTCTCTCTCCTCAAATTTAGAAATTCCTAGAGGTCTCCCTATTTTGAAAGGTAAATAGGAAGTATGGTTGGGGTTGTATTTTTCCAATGCCTCCCTAAAATTTGTTTAAAGAGGTCATTTAAAGAGCCCATTATGGATGCACTTAAGAGCCATTGGTTTCACAAAAAATAGTTATGAACAAAAAGTGATAATTTCGCAAACCTGAAGACATTTGTGATAAAAAGGCTATTAAATAAATACAAATTCACAAGTCCATGCACATTCGAGTCGACAAAATGGTTCATATATTACATATTACAAATTACAAACTACACAACCACACACTTCGACCTTGGAAATGAATGGATATCAAAATTCACGTAGCAATTTAACAAAGTACGGCAACAAATCAATCAGCAAACCATATACTTCCACAGATATGCATCTTCACACGTAAAAATTAAAATAATCATATAAACATCTACCTTCGACATCTTTTTATTGATAGTCCTGCCCTCGTAAGGGTTTTAATTTTTATTTTTTTTTCTTTTAAATTGCTTAGCTGATGAGAGAAGAAGACGGATGTGATAGAGCAGGCAACCCAAGGCCCTATAGAGCTCAAGACGATGCAGTAACAGCAGCCTTGGTTGGGTTAAATGCAACCTGCTCGGCACAAGTTAGCACTTCATGGGACCCTGCCTCCTCTCGTCCGACACCCATAAGGTCAAGGTAGTACTGGTAATGGGAAACGATGGTGTTCATGGCATCAATGTCGCCCTGCCCACAAAGTTGATCGCCATAAAGAATATTCATTGTAGCGCCAAATCCAGGAAACCTCTTGCTCAAAGTATCATTTTTGGTGGGCTTCCAATTGCCAACAAATGCATCGTGTGCCGAGGGTTGTGACTTCTTGATAGCAGTCATCCACCTCCATATTGCAGCCTGGAAAGCAAGAGTAGCATTCTGCTCAATGTATTCAGGATGGTTCAACAGATCAACCTTCAAAGCTTCTCCAGCTGCACCATAATTGTAGTTCCTGGATGGCAGCACCAATAGAAACTTACAAACATTGTCTACTCAACGAGCTCATTATAAACTAACATATCATCTACAACTCTCGTATGACACTAAATTTGAGGAAAAGAGGAAAGTGGCAATAGCTAGACTATGCAAAAAACTGACATGTAAATTGAAGACAATATGCCGGACCTACAAAACAACTCTATCATTTACTTCTGAGTATATCAATGAATAATCTCATTTTATGACAACTCTATTCCTCCACAAGACAACTGATATCCTCTGGTTAAGTTATTAGGTAAAAGAGAGTTTGGAAAAATAATAAAAGGAAATTCACATAAACAAATGATGGGGGCGGATTAATTATGAAATAAAAACAAAGGGAATACAAACCAGTAGATCGGCAAAGCACCACGACCATAGTATTCAGCTCCAGGAGTGCAGGGGTATGTGTATTTGTAATAGTCATCGCAGTATGATTGCATGGGACTCATTTCCCTGTTGTAGCAAAGTCCCCAGGCCAATGGTCCTCCTGTGGCCACACCATAACCACCTGGAAAAATCATTGCTCTCGCCGTCATCAACCATAAGAACAATGGTGTGCATATGTGAATTTCAGCAAAAGCTTATTCCAGCTTATCCAATCTAGAGTTGTATTAAGCCTGTTCTACTTTGTATCCACAACAATATCAAGTTTTAACAATATGTATTTGTGATCAATCATTTTTTCCCATAGTTTTAATATTTACTATCACTGTAATTCTCATTATTTATTTGATTGACCAATTATTCAGCTGATCTACCTAAACATATGAAAAAAGTAAAAGACAAAAATTTCTAACCCTTTTAGTTCTTCACATCCCTGTTTCTATGTTCTAAGTGAAATTCAATCTGATGTTTTCTCAAGACCCACATTGTTCATAAACCCAATTAACTCAAACTTAACAAATCACAATCAAATCCAATCAAACCTCACCCGCAAAAACACAACCCATAATTCAATTCAACATTTGATTCAACCATTTTAAGCATCCAACAAAAGCATTACAAAAAACAACAGCTGCCCACTATAACAGTTCTATCCTAAACCATCTACATATATATATACGCATCTATATACTATATGTCCATGAAGATAGGACTTGACAGTTGCTGAAAACACAAACTTTTCATAAACCCAATTCACTCAAACTTAACAAATCACAATCAAATCACCCCAGCCCATTCTATTCAAAATTTGATTAAACCATTTTAAGCATCCAACAAAAACATAACAAATTAAAGACAATTACCCACCATAACAATTCGATACAAAAATCTTGACAGACCACAGAACTTAACAGAAGTGGTGACTTACAAGAGGTTTTGCTGCCGACATGTCCAAGAAAGGCGGCGATCTCCTTCATCTGCATAAGCTTCCCACCAGTGGTCCCGAACCCAAGAGGCTGGAAGAGGGCAGAAGCAGTAATAAACGACTGATAATCCCAAAAGCCAACGGCATGCGCCACCGGCGTGTTTCTTTTGGAGAAGAGATTCTCAAACTGGTAAGTTTGGAAGAAATCGGAGATGGTGAGATTGCAACAGTACTGGGACCACCCTTTACATTCCCACCCTCTGTCACACACCTTCTTCCCCCTCACCGTCTTCACCCGCGGAGTCGTTGACGGCATATCGCCGTCGCTGCTGGCACCCAAGAAAACACTCAGCACCACCGCCACAGCCAATGCAGCAGTGGAAATCTTCATGATGGCTAGGGAGAGAGAGCTGAAATGGGTTGATGGGAGAGCTTGGGATCTGACTGGTTTTGCTGAGCAAATTGCAGGGTAAGAGCTTTTGTTTGTTGGTGTTTTGGGTTGTCGTAAGGCAATAGTTTGACGGGGTGTCGTTTTCGGGCCTGTGGTTAGATGTGTGCTGTGGGGTTAAATGTCGAGCAGGTTGTATGGAAATGGACGGCCGATGATGGATTGGGGGATGGGAAAGTGTTCGAGGTTTAAAGAGAGAACAGACTGGAATAATGTTGGAGGGGGCTGACCCACGAAGCTCCACCGACAGCGCATGGAGTGTTGTGAAGTGTCCTTACTGCCCTTGTTGACACTTGGCAGATCCGTGGAATAGAAAATGGGGATGGGTCGACTCAAACGGATACCCAGCCCTTTTACCGGGCTTTTTTTTGTTCAATCGGATGGGTCGACTTATCGGCATTCGAACCTGAGAGACTGTCAATCAATCTATAAGCAAATGCTACCCGTTGCCCTTTTTGTTGACTTCATTGAATTTAGGGAAGTGAATAAGAGCATTCACAATGGTTGACTTCATCGAATTTAGGAAAGTGAAAATGAATAAGAGCATTCGCAATGGTTATTTAATAATTTAATGCAATTTGAATTATTTTGGCATTTATTGAATTGAACTACAGTTTTACTTGTAATTGTACAATTCAATAGTTTCAATTTATTGGCATGTGAGTCTTATAATTAGGGCTAGTTTGGCATTGCTGTGCTGTGAAAATAATCGCTGTCAGATTTGCTGTGAGAGAAATCAGTTGTGAGAGAAGCAGTTTGGCGTTTGGTAAATTTTTTGTTAAAAGTGTTGTTGGTATTGATTTTACACATAATCAAAAAATGATTGCTGCATAATCATTAAACCCAGTGCCTCTTCGAAACTGATTCTTGCATAATCAGAAAATGAAAGCACCTCATTAGCTGCTTTCCCTTATAGCTTTCTCTCACAGCAATTTTTAACAATAAGTGATTTTCTCACAGTTTACCAAACGAGTTGGGCTTCTCAAAATTTTTAAAAAATCACTTATCACCCCAAATAAGCAATGTCAAACTAGCACTTAGTCTATTACAATTTAATAGAAGATTCATCATTAGGGTCTGGCCTGGCTAGGGCGACCAAGGCCACAACCCGAGCCCATAGCATAGGGGGCACAAATTTTTTTTATAGCCTATAAATATAAAAATATATCTAAAAAAAGGAAACTAAATAGGCGCTCAACGTTAATCTCATGCTTTGGAAATCAAAACCAATATTTCTCCTCCTTTCCAATAAAAAGTCAAGTGAACAAGAATTGAAGTATTGATAACCTGTTGGGCGAAATCAAAGTAATTTTTGGTCGTAAAAATCAAAGTGATTGATTCATCAATATGTGAGTTTCAACCAGCATCAAGGCCAAAGTGAAAAAATACTTTGAAGGAACTGGTATTTCCTCCGATGTCTTGGCCATCTTGAAGAGAACACAGTTGAATGAAGGGTTGGAGGAGTTCTTGGAATTTTGCAATTGGATTTTTAAGATGTTTTTTTTTTCTTTTTTTTTTTTGTTTGGTTTGGGTTAAGCGTTCTTTTGTTTTTGGCTCAGCAATTTTACTCACTATCTTTTCATTGTTAGTTTTCTTAACTTTTTATATATATTCAAGTTGCTTTGAATGTTTTTATTTTTATTTTTATTTTATACGAGCTTTGAATGTTTTGTTTAGTTTTATGTGATTATATTTTAAGGGAAAAAATACTCAAAATCCAGGTTTTATTAGTTAAATTATTAAAGTAGAATCTTTCATGCTTGAGTGTGATCGATCATATATTAATTTTTAGTTTCTTTATTGCCTATCTTCCTATGCTAAAAATCTTCCTATGCTTGTAACAAAAAAAAAAAAAATTTTTGTAAGTGTTTCTCCTTATTGTGGTGATTGTTGAGATTTTTATTGTTATTAGTTGCGTTTATTATAAAATTTAAAATTTGGAAACCTTAAAAAAGATAAAAAGAAGACATTGCTCATAGTCTTAAAAATTCTTTGGATAAATATTTTCTTAAAAACCAATTATTAGTTTATAAAATAAAAACTACAATTTTAGTGTGCGTGTATATGGGCACATTTTAGGCTTTTGTCCTGGACCATTGAGAGCTCGGGACTTACCATGTTCATCACATAGTACCCTCTATTGCAATTGCATCTATTTCAATGAACTAAATCAAACCATTGCAAGTGAGATTTTCCTGTTTTAGTTCAATTTCATGCAATAAAATTGCATTGATCTTAACCATTGTAGATGCTCTAAGATGATTCACTTATGCACTCAAACCAAATTTTGGGATAGTTTTCTTTTCAAATATCCATTTAAAAAAGGAAACTCGAGAAAAGACATTAGGAATTGAAGGAGCCCAATAAATTAAGACCGAAAAGAATTGAGTTTTTTATATAAGTGACATTAGGAGAAAAATGAATCAAAGCTAGGAATTCGGGTGTATGGGTGCTCTTAACTACTTTCTACAAGTGCCTTGCAAAAATGAAATATTGCATCTTTGAGAAGACTTGAAACTTTAACCTCAAATCAAAGGAGGAAACCTCAACCACAACCACTACACTAATCTTGTTTGTGCATGTTCAAAAATGCATATAGATATAATCAACATTTATTGAGCTTCACCAAAAGTAAAAAGGTACATTTAAGAGATTATATATTTTTTTAATAAATATAAGCGATAGTCTAAATTAAATGATAATGGAGTTTCTCACACACACTACCAATGTGTCATGGAAGTTCGAATCTGCAGTCAAGACCCTTTTCTAATGGGCTAGACTCCGTTGGCTAAAGTGTCTATATTTAAGAGAACAAAACCAGCACAAACAAAAGGTTTAAAGGCCAAAATCCAACAAAACCTAGAATGAGAGCAAAGGATCACTGCCACCTACCACAAAGCAAAGATGAGCATCGACTAAAAGCAGCTGCAAGCTTACAACAATGGCCAAGCCGAAAGAACATTTGCCTCTGTTTTCTTTATTCATTTCTCATTAATAAATGAGCATCTCTTAACCAACTAAATAACAACGAACGTATCGGATTCACACAAAATTAAATGCATCCATTCAAAGTAGATTGAAAGCACGGTCCAGGAATTTTTATATGGGCTGGTTGTAAATGATCTCTCAGAACATGCATGTAGATAAATCCTACCATAAATAGTAGGTGGCAGGTACAGATGTGATATTTTCACACCGAAAAGATAATATTGGAACTCAACAGATAATGTCGTCCAAATTATATATTTTTAATTAGTTTGACAAACAAACAAGATTGACAGCCGTTAGGCCAACTGTCAAGAAAAAAAGGTCATAACCCTTTCTTGTCGACAAAGTAAATATATATCGCGGGATTCTTTAAATAATTTTATTTGATAGACACTTTTCAGGGTTCTGTACAAAAAAAAAAATTTCAACAATTCAAATCATTTATTTTTTAAGTCTACATTCATAGATCATCATTGCAAAAAATTATACAAATCGGAAACCGTTACGACATCCAATTGTGTTTTTCAATGAACACAGTACTTCAAAAAAGTAATAAAATTTCAATAACTCAATTGAGTTGTCAAATGATATCAGATTCAAATGATTTTTTTGTAGAGATGATCTTTGAATAATTATTTATTAAATAGACGGTTTGAATTAGTGAAATATAATACGGAGTGGGCCCTATAAAAGTGTTCCTCAAATAAACTTATCTGGATACATTGACCAAGCGAAGAAGAAAAGAATAAAATAAGAGCAAGAGGTTAAAAACCAATTAATATCCAGACAAGATAATGCGTTGGGCTACTTGAAGACTTATCTCCACCACAAATGTTGATCCCGTGACACTACAGCATGGCCAGTTTCCCGGTTCACGGGCTGCATGCATGGCCCCCTTCCTTCCCTATCCCTCCCACCAATGCTCTTTTTATTGTCAATAAATAAATAAATAAAACCCCACCAATATTATCCTTTGGTTTCCCTATAAAACCCACCAACTAGGAGCTCCTAAAATCCACACACACACACCAAAGAAGTAAAACAGAATCAGTATCTGATCATGAAGGGTTTTCATCAAAAGCTCCTAGTTGCTGTGGCTGTGGTTTTGGTTGCACTTGCAAGCAATGGTGGTTTTGTTCAGGTTTGTGATGCTCAGAACATATGCAATGTCTCTATGAATGGTTTGATGACTTGCAGGCCAGCTGTGACAGCCCCGAACCCGGCCCCGCCTACAACCGCCTGCTGCTCGGCGCTGTCGCATGCCGACATGGGCTGCCTTTGCTCCTACAAGAACTCCAACCTCTTGCCTTCTCTAGGGATTGACCCTAACCTTGCCCTCCAGCTTCCTGCCAAGTGCAAGCTTCCTCATCCTGCCAATTGCTAGACAGTGTGGTTTAATAAACAACGTGATAACGTGATTAAGATGTGATTAATCATGTAATCACATGTTGAACTTGGGTAATGATGTCTACTATATAATTATGTGTTTTGAGTTGAATAACTGTGTTTCATTGTCGTTGTACGAAGCTTATGGTTTCTTGCCATTTGCTGCGATGTTGTTGGATATGGAATATGTAATACAATACTACTATAATATAAACCTTAGTTTTCGCTGTATAAGTAGTTGCCTGGAATTTCTCTCTCTTATAAAGGAGTGCAAGTTCTTTTTTTTTCGATGTCAAAGACAGCGATAATTAGATTGCAGTCCATTTTTTGTACTAGTTTTCAATTTGGAGCCGTCGTATAATTTTTTGGTTGACTACTAAGGTTCATTAACTAGGTGTGCAATTTTTTTCCTCAAACGGATCCATGAGATTAGCATATCAACATTTTTCAGTTAGTTGGGCTCTTCCACTTCCACTCATGTAGGCAGAGATTAGAAACCCCGAAGCACCCAATAAATATTTGTATAAATCTCTCTCCCCTAATTACTTGTATTAAAAATAAAACAAATA